GACACAGCTCTGTCAGAAATAACGTAGCTCCGAGCAGAATGGAGTGAAAGCCACTGGAAGTACAAGGCCTGCCTCTGGGGAGCAGAGAAGGGGTGCGGAAGGCGGATCTGGACCCACAGGCGAGGCTTGGCAAAGACGAGTAGCTTTGCGCCTGGTCCTGAAGTGTGGGTGGGCTATGCACAGGCAAGTAGCAGGAAGACAGGACTCCTGGACACAGGAACAGCAAGAATTCCAAATACTACATGGAATAAACTGAACTAGGAGGAAGCAAGCTGCCAAATCCAGAATGTAGGTCCCTCTGCAGAACCATTTACCCTGTTTCCTGAGCAAGTCAATGGCCTAGAAAGAGGTGCTGGTGGAGGGCGGATGAGCTAGATTGAAGTAACCCGCTGCACCCCATGGTAACAGAATTCTCTGCCCTCCTTCTCGCCCTCCCTCCCTCGCTTCATTCATGTATCTGACAAATACTTACTCGCCACTCACCATGTGACAGGCGCCGGGTCAGTCAACACTGTGGATCCTACCCTTATAATGTCTCTCCGGGTGGTCCTTTGATTTCTGTGTCCCCCCTCCTTCTCTGACAAATGCCCAAATTACAGTAGTGATCTCCATGGTGATCTCACTCTCTCTAATTGCATACTTTTTCCATAATCTGTGAAACGAATGTAAACATGGATCTGGAATCAATAAATCCCACGGAGCCTGGACGGAGGCCAGCTGGGCAGCGCCCTGCACAGGAGGCCTGCTCAGTTGACGGCATGCACGGGGCTTTGCAGACAAGGGCTCCGTGGAAGACAGTCCATGGACAAAAACGATGAGATATGTGGTGAAGGCTTTGGGGAGACAAGACACCTGAAAAAAAATTGTTGATCGATTTGAGAGTGGGGAGAGAGAGAGAGAAAGAGAGATCGATTTGTTGTTCCACTTATTTATGCATTCATTGGTTGATTCTTTTTTTTTAATCCTCACCCAAGGATATTTTTCCATTTATCTTCAGACAGAGTGGGAGGGGGAGAGAGAGAGAGAAACATCATAAGAGAGAGACACATCAATTGGTTGCCTTCCACATGATCCCAGCCAGGGCTGGGAACTGAACCGCAACCAAAGTACGTGCCCTTGACCAGAATCACACCTGTGACTCTTTGGTGCACGGGCCGATGCTCTAACTGCTGAGCCAAACTGGCTTGGGCCATTGGCTGATTCTTGTATGTGCCCTGACTGGGGATCAAACCCACAACCTTGGCGTGTTGGGATGACACTCTAACCAACTGAGCTACCCGGCCATGGCCAAGACTCTTTCTTGTCCTTATGGTGCTTATAATATAAAAAGGGGGCTGACAGCCATTAAATAAAAATCCACACACATCATTATTTAATTTTACTTGTGTAAGCTCTCCTCTGTGAAGGACAGCGCTTGTGTCGTGAGAGGTTGTAACAGGGAAATCTAAGTCTGGATCCAAGAAGGCGCCCGAGGAAGAGCTCATTAACCTGAGGAGTGAGTTGGAGCTACCGAACTGAAGGTGGGCTTGTTTGGGGAAGGTCGTTGGTGGGCTGGGAGAGCCATTCCAGGCAGATGCAGCATGAACAAAGGCCTGGGGATGGGATTATATGGAGCTTCAGGGAAACAGAAAAGCCAGTCCCTGTGAATGGACTCTAACCAGCGAGCCACAGGGTCACATTTGCATTTCAGAAACCAACCCCTGCTGTCGTGTGGGAATCATACAGGCCTGTAGGGCGGAGGTAGAGAGCCAGTTGGAGTGCTGTTGTCATAGATCTGGTGGGACTGTCAAGGTGAGTACTGTGGCTGTGACAGTGTAGAAAGAGAGGGGGGATAGACTGGGCTAGAATCAGCTGTGCTTAATGCCCACTTAGATGTGGGAAGCGAGGAGAGGGGAGTCAGGAGAATGACTCCCGGGTTTCTGGATGGAGCAACAGATTTGGTGGGTGGAGAGGGTTGAGGGAGCTAACGAGTTTCATTCTGGACACACTGAACTTGAAGTGCCTATGGAGACATCCAACAGCTAGCTGGATGTGAGTGTAAAGTGCCAGAAATATTTCAAAGCTGGAGCTACGGAAATGGAAAATACCAGCTTTGAGTAGTGGCGGAAGCCTTGACAATTTGATGGCTCACACAGGGCAAGTGAACTGAGTAAAAAGGCAAGAGGTTCCAGGACCAAGCACTGGGAAACACGGGTATTTAAGAAGTGAATGTAGAATAAAGAGGTAGAAAAGGAGCCCAGGGAAGGATGACCAGAGAGGCAGAACAAGCAGAAGAAAATATGTGCCGGATGGTCTCTATGTGCCCCCTCTGAGTCGACCTTCTCCACCCAGCTCTGAGGCCTGGAACGCTGACCTCTGTGGACCTCCCCTCTGGTTTCTAGGGCTCTGCCACGGGGGGACACGAGAACAAGACTGGGGGGTGGGAGGCTCCGTGACTATTCTCTGGGCTTCCTCCTGATGGGCTGTGGATCTTCCAAGGCTAGTTCCTCTACCAGAGACCACAGTTCCTGCTGTGCACCCTTAGCCGCAATTTCTTTTGTCTCTTCGGGCCTAAGGGCGGGAAAGTCTTTCCCTGTTGTTAGCCCTTAGGTCCTTCACCTTCCCTTGCTAGTGTCCCTTAATCCTGCCCATGTCTTTCCAATTGGTTCCTTCACTCAGCTCTCTCTAGTCATCCCTGTTGTTGGCCAAATGTGTCCTGCTAGGATCCTTACCTTTACAGTCATATCACAAACCCACAGGAACAGGGTGTCAAGCAGGCGTGATCTACAGTGTCAGACGCTGCAGAGGCTATGCTGGCAAATGGTATGTGGCAGCCAGAGGCTGTTGAATGTTTGCTGGCACCAGTTAAAGGACTGGTGAGCTGAAGCCAGACCACAGCACCCTGAAGAGTCAGCGGAGAGTCACTGACCTTTCCTGTGAGGCGCTAGCTATGACGAAAGAAGAAGGTGGTAATTTGAGAGAGTTACAGGGTGGTGTTTTCTTTCCATTTATTTTATTTTTTAATCCTCACCTGAGGATATTTTTCTACTTATCTTCAGATAGAGTGGGAGGGAGTGAGAGGGAGGAAGAGAGAGAGAAAAACATCCACGTGAGAGAGACACATCATCTGGTTGCCTCCGGCACCACTCCGACCAGGGCCTGGACGAACCACAACCAAGGTACGTGACCTTGACCAGAACTGAACCCAAGACTCATTGGTCCGCAGGCAGACTCTCCAACCGCGGAGCCAAACCAGCCAGGGCTTCTTTCATTTCAGCATCGAGGGATTTTGGCCTGTGGGAGGAGCACTGGACAGGGAAGGCCGGGAAGTGCAGGACCGGGAACGGGAACGGGAACGGGAACAGGCCCCGCCAGGACTGCGGGGCAGGTGCGAGGGACTAACCCGGAGCACAGAACGCTGACTTCCTCTTAGACCGGAGGAAGGAGTGAGAATAGGTACGGACAGTAAAATATTTACTGCCATGTGCTAGGGGAGTGAGGGAGTTTCTTCTTGACAGTCTACATTTTCACAGTGGGAGTTCAAGGACAGGGAAATCTCAAAACAGTCATTTTGGTTTTTTTTGTGTTTTTTTTTTATCCTCACCCGAGGACATTTTTCCATTTTTTGTTCAGATAGAGTGGGAGGGAGAGAGAGGAAGAGAGAGAGAGAGAAACATCGACGTGAAGGGACACATCGAGTGGTCGCCACCCGCACGACCAACTAGGGCCGGGGACAATCTGCAACCGAAGTACGTGCCCTTAGCGGGAACCAAACCCGGGTCTCTCCGGACCGCAGGCCGATGCTCTAACCGCTGAGCCAAACCGGCCAGGGCTCAAAACGGTCATTTTGAATGGGGTGGGGAATTGACCAGGGACCAGTGAAGACCTCAAAAGTTTGCTGACATCAGTGAATAGAGGATCGACGTCCATGATATAGACTAGATATGGACTGTGTGGCGAAGTGATAATATCGTGAGATAAAGTGGAAGGGCAGGAGTGTCTGTGGAATGTGGTCCTCTTTGGGAAATGGGGCGTTATCAAAGGTTTTTGAGCAGTGGAGAGATGAACAGGATATAAGACTGTTGGAGTGAGGGCAAGGAGAAGTGCTAAAGGTCACAAAGAGGTCTTAAAATAATCTCAGTGGTAGAAAAATAATATGCCTTATTTGGGGGTAAAGAGCAGAGACACTGAGGAGCTAGATCCTGTAAGACTAGTGGTGGTGCCAACAGTTGCATCGGGGGAATCCTTAGGGCCCTTCCTCCAAACTCAGTCACCTCCATCTTAATCTGCCCTAAATATACACTCTAAGTAAAAACACGCTGCTTTCTATGCAAACATGGTCTGATGTCAATTGGCTGGCCCTGTCTCTCTGTATCAACATACGGGAACTTCTACTACCTAGAGCTGAGAGGCTACTCAGACATGGGATAGAAAAGAGAAGTCAGAGACAAGTCAGACATTCTAACCGGCCTTGCTGCGTGGATGTCATGATACTACTGACCAAGAAAAAGAATGTGGGAAATCCTGATTGTGAAGGAAAATGATGCATTTTAGGTCCCAGGAGGATCTGTGTGAATTTGGGCAATTGGGGTTGAGCAGTGAGTTAGAACTTGGGAGGGAGGTGGGGCCTGGTTGTGCAGGTCTGGGCATCAGCTGCGTGGAGCTGGCTGTGAAACAGTGGGGTCCAAGGAGAGAAGGGGGGGTACAGAGAAGACACAGCTCACGAGGCCCCAATGGATGAGTCAGGCCAAGCACGGGATAAGCAGGGATAATGGTGGAGTCCCTTTTTCTTTTACAAAAATTCACTTCTCTTCTTGAAAATTGATTTTTAATTTATACTTTGTTCTATGAAAGGGTCCAACTATTAACACAACTTATTACAAATATTTAGAAATTCTCTGGATCCCTTCAATTTTGTAGTTTCATGATCAGCCTCTCGAAAGCTGTGCCGCTCTCTGAGCAGAATTTGTTCAGATCTGTTCGGCTGTGCCCCCTAAGTGTTTCAATCTGTACCAAAAATGTTACTTGTGTTCCCTTTGGGCTTCAGGTTGAATGTCCTCGTCTGTGTCAGAGAGCCAGTGTCCCCTAGACAGCCATCAGCTCCCATCAGGTTTTTCTGGGTCTGCATTTGAGTCAAGAAGTTAGAATCATCTTTTCCTAATTGCAACACATTCTCCTCTGAGTATCTACCCCAATCTCCATCGCCGAGGGGCGCCTGTGTTCTGAGCGAGCTGGTTTTATTGGGAAGCTCTTGTAATAATGGCGTCTGGCGCCTGGAACCCTCTTCAGAACATTCCCCCCCTCCTCCTCCACGCCGCAGGGCTGGCTCGTGGCTGCAGAGCTGTAACAGTTGTGTTGGGCGCGTGCTGTCTCTAGAGCCAGGGTCCTCAAGAGGACACCCAGACCCCTCATGTGCATCAGTGTCCCTCGAGCTGAAATGCATGTTGCCGCCTTCAGAACCTTGTTGTGAGGGTCTTGCGTTCCCCCCCGTAGGGATCCGGAAAGGAATATTGTTTTTTTCATCTGTGTCTGTTCCCTGAAGGAAAGGTTCACGTGAACAGGTGTCCGAGTGTCCTCCACGACAGGCAGTCTTCTCAGGACCCGAGGGAACTTCAGCAGCACACGGTGCTGTTTGAGGTGCACTATCCTCTTTGAAAAAGTCCAGGTCTCTAAGTGAGCAGTGCCACCCTGCTGCCTCCAGCTGCGGGGCTGGGATCTCGCTGCGGGAAGGACTACTGCCCAGTGACCTGCCCAGTTGGTTCTCATATTCGTAGGTGGTAGAGGCATTTTCCTGACGACTTTCGTACAAACCAGAGTCTGCAGCAGAAATGAGAGGTTTTTCAAAGCGATCCTTCTGATTCTCACATTTCCCCTGAGTCTTCTGGAAGGTGATGTCCTCAAGACTCTTGAATGACATAACATTGCCCTCCCTCCCCACCGAGTTCCCGTCCCCCCGGGGCTCACTGCTTCTGCAACTTTCCTCGTCATCTGCCTCTTCTTCGGTCACATTTCTGGCACCCTCTGTACTTACTGAACTTAGAGTAAATAAAGAACCTTCATCAGAGTCGTAGTTGGTGTCCAGCTCGTACTGTGTGTCAGGAGGGGCGTGTTTCTGTGCTGGTTCCTCGTCAGCAGGAGTGACATGTTGGTCACTACCCCATCCTGGAGGAGAGACCGGCAGGGACGGGGCCATCTGTCCTAGGGCACTGAGTGTGGCCGAACTACAGGAGGTGGAATGGTCTTGCTCAGCATGGGTTCCCTTGAGCCTTTGCTCCTGTGCCTTCAGCAAGCTGATGGAAGTGCCCACTTGCATGTTCTTAGAAAACTCCAAAGGTAACTGTTCTGTGCCCCCTCCTTCCTTATTCTCTCCAGTCTTCTGTGCTTTTGTATGTGTCCGTGTCTTAGAGGGAGCAGCTGTCATTCCTCTTGACGGTGGTGGGTCTAACTCATTCGAATCCGTGTGGGTTGAGCCGGGGCCTGCTCCCAGCCTGCGGGCTATCACAGGGACGCCGGTGGAACACGCACCGAGAGAGTGTCCCAGGGCCTCCGTTTCATAGGTGATTTCTCCGAGAACGACGTCCCTGTGGATGTGGCCCTGTTTTGCTGAGACTAGCACACTGCCGTCAGCACTCGGCTGTGCGCGGGGAGCCAGAGAGGCTGCGCGAAGCGCGTCCCCCTTTCTCCTTCCCGCCCCCGCGTCGCCGCTGCATTGCGCCCTGCTCAGCCCCGGCGGTCTGTCAGCCACGACAGCAGCCTGTGGGCTGGCCTCTGGTCCTGGGAAAGGGTCGTGGGTCTCACGGAGGGTCAGACCGTGGCAGGCTTGGTGCAGACCCCCCCGCGGGTGCCGGGTGTTCCCTGCGACTTCTATGTCGTCGTAGAAGCCCTCGTTGGAATAGGCACGGTCTGGACCCGGCCTTTTCCGCCTGCATCTCTGCTGCCACAGCCTGTCAACGTAAGGCCTCGCCAAAGCCCCCAGGCAGAAGGCCACGAAGAACGTGATGAACACCGCCAGGCAGACGGCCAGGGCGAGGTCCTGGGGGGAGGCGTCCGCGGCCCCGGCGCTCCTCGCCCGCCGTGGCGGCCGTCCCTGCGGCTCAGCGGTGTCGGGGCCCGCGTGGTCCTTCTTGCCCACAGCGGAGAGGAGCAAGCGCGTGCCTTCCCCGGGCCCCGCAGCTTTGCTCCGTGGGAGGCTCTGTGTGTGACTCGGATCAGGGTGAGGGAGCTGGGTCTCCCTGGGAATTCTGCTTCTGGGAGCCCACCAGTATGCCTCCTCCGGCCCTGGAAGTGGGGGTAGAACACATGGAAATTAGAGTCTGGTGGTTTTATTTTTTTTCTAAAATCCTCACCTGAGGGTATTTTTTCCATTTATTTTCAGATACAGTGGGAGGGAGGGAGGGAGATCGACTGGTTGCCTCCCACACGACCCTGACCAGGGCTGGTGACCAAGTCACAAGCACAGTACATGCCCTCGAACCCGTGACTCTTCGGTCCGCAGGCCAATGCTCTAACCGCTGATCCAAACCAGCCAGGGCTAGAGTCTGGTGGTTTTTAAAGGCTTCTCTGAGTTCTCCTCACTCCTTATCTAGCTGTGTTTATTTTCATTTTTAAAAATGTTTTTATTGATTTTAGAGAGAGAGGGAGAGGGAAAGAGAAATGGAAACATCGATGAGCGAAACCTCGATCAGCTGCCTCCTGAACCTGGGACGACCTGCGCTGAGCCACGGGCCGCTGGCCCAGCTGTGTTCAGGGTGCGAGCCGCGTGGCGCTGAGCAGCTTTCCTGAGCAGGACAGTGTGTGCGCGGCGTGCACATTCACGCACGGCTGCCAGGCTCAGGTCTCTGCTCCCGGCCCGGAGGCGGTGTGTTTCTTAGGCATCTTGCCTGATGGCTACCCCGGGAGGAAAGAAGCCAGGCTGGAGGACTGGCCTCCTTGCTTCTCCTTCCTCCACAGCCTGACCTACTGCACGTCGCTAGAACATTCCATCAGCCCCCTGCAAACTGCCTGAGCCCCAGGCTCACACCACCATGCCGAGCGGTCCCCAGTGCTGGTGGCAGCAGAAATGCCCAGCGTTCCTTACTGGCTCCTGGCACTCTGCCCTCCACTCTCAGAGCCGGTGTCCAGGACAGGGCGGCTGACAACACTGGGACTGTCCCCCGATCTCCACGCTTTCGTCTCCACCTGGAGGCCATGCGGGTGCTCTAGGGTCCGCGCTGAACAGAACCGAGTCCAGGACCCATGAAAAAATCTCACTTTCTCCTCTACCCTCCAGTTAGGAGTTTGAGCTTAAGTCAAGATAATAGGTGAAAAAACTTTCCAGAAGGTTCAACTCCAGTAACATAGTCTAGCACTTTGGGAGACAGATAGGGAATAAATCAAAGAACAATATACTTTTGAAATATGTGTGTTTTGTGTCTGTATAGGATTATAGTTTTAGAATGTTAGCAAGCAATTTAAATAATCCTGTTTCAAGTTTTAAAAGTTCTTTCTTGATTATTTGTTAAGAATTGGGATAAAATGATGAGATTTGAGGGGTCTTCAGGGCAAAATTCTCTCCTTATGAAATTTCGGTTTTTGACCAAATCCAATGGTTTCTGAGATAGTTGCAGTAGGTGTCTTTGACCCCGTGAAGAAAACCATTCATGAACTGAGGAAGACAGGTACCAATACTGTTCTGTGACACAGCCCAAGGCTGTCCAAGGCCATGGACCACCGCCTTGCTGTCACTGTTTCCAATGAGACTAAATGTATCGTGTTTTTTATTTTTTTTCAAGTTTAGCTGGAACCCATTCAGAGAGACGAGGTACGACTGACAGACGTACCTACAGACTTGTTGCAGATCACACCCCACCGTCCCCTCCAGGACTCAGACATGAGATTTTGGAAGACCACCATGCTATCGTCACACTGCCACTGGTTACCGGCCAAGTCAGCCTCCAGGTGGGGACGCTCCAGAGCAATGATCACCATGGGCAGGACTGCGGTCAGAGCATTGTTGCTGAGGTCGACGACCTGCTCGAGAAGAGGCAAACTTAGGGCAGTCTGTGAATGAAGACATTTAGAGACAACAGCCGGGTTCCAGGTATTGCTTTATATCTTTCTGGAGGCAATAAGAAGTCAGCACTGATTTGAGAGTCAGAGGATCGTGGGATTCAGTCTCTGCTCTGTCTCTCTCAGCTCTGTGAGCCTCAGCAAACTGTTTACTCTCTACCAGCCTACCTGCCAAGGTTGTTGTCAGGATTAAATGTGTGCAAAAGCTTTAAGTATGGTGCCTATGTTAGATGCCTAGTCATTTCCCCTCCCTTCTCTCCTATGAGCTGGGTTTTGCACGTTACATAAAACCTAGACTTGCATTGTTATCAGGGTCTAGAATTAGATACCAGGTCTAAAACACCTGTAAGCACAGTGATCTTGAAAGTGGCAGAAGACACTGACTGAAGAGGATGTACAACACAGAACTGTGCCGACCAGAGGAGCAAGGAGAGATCGTTTGCTTCAGGGGTAGAAGTACATGTCTCTGCATCCATGCTACTCGGTACGAACAAGATGACCAATTTTTCAAGTCTAATCGGAAATGAAGGGGAAACCAGGGAACAAAAAGGGCTCAGTGGCACTAGAAACACAGAGGAGGACCTGTTGCAGGTGGCCATTGAGGTGTATGACACAGCAGGGAAAGTGTAGTTTGGTGTGGCTCTAGCTACCATTTGCAGAGCACTGCCATGCACCAGGCATCTTACTGGGTGCTTTACATATATTATTTCTAAACCTCCCAACAAATTCCTCATTCTCCCCAGCCTTTTTTTTTTTCTTTTACAGAGGAGGAAACTGGGCTAGGGCACACAGTTCATTCCACGCAGCCCCTAGCACTCAGCAGGTGCTCCATAAGTAGTGGGGAAAGGAAGGAATGAATGAAATGGCAGAGCTGCAATCTGGTCTGGCTTCACTGTGTGCCTTCTACCCCACAACATGTCCTCTGGGAGCCTGAGCTCCCCCACCCCGGAGTGAGCGGCGGGTGGAGGGGGCCTGGAGCCTGAGGCACAGATTGGGATCTTGGGGATTGGGGAGGGGCAGATGGTAATTAGAAGAAGAGAAAATCATAAAAGAAGTAATGAAAATCTTGCTGAAGAAGAAAAAGAGGGCTATGGGTGAAAACTAGAGGCTGAATGTGATCTAGGTCAAATGTTTCATAAACACGAGGGAAGAGCAGCAGTGATATCCCGGGTTCTGTACCTTCCTAAGAGCTGATTCAGACAATCAACCCCACAGCACCATCACCAAGACCACCACACGCAGAATCAGAATCCTCCCTGAACATACGCGGAGAGGGTGACCCTTCCCATGCTGAGCAACCAATCAGTCTTGACTCCCAAAGGAAGATTGCCAATAGTAGAAAGCAAGAGACTGGGATTGGGAAGAAAAAAAACCAACACTTTTCTTTGGCCTGGTCTTGCCTAAGATGAATAATTTTCTTATGTATCCCTCCCCAACAACAGAGTGAAATATTCCAATGTTTTTTAGGCAGTTATTTTCTTTTTAGTGCATGTCTGCATGTTTTTCTACTCTAGCAGCTATGATATTACAAATCATTGAGCTAAAAGCAAAACTGGAAAGAGGCCAGAAAACTAATAAGATGATTCAGGAGAAATAATTTCTGAGAAGAGATTAAAACCGAATAGTCCAGTATGGCTAAAGAGACAGATGTCCCCCATCAGTGGCAGGAGTGTACACGACAAAAGACTGGGAGAAGCGCACGTTGCTGCACAAATCACCAAGTCTAAGAAGAATGGAGTCAGATGAAGGAAAAGGATGCTAATTTGAAATGCCAATGAAACTCAATTTATTCTATCTAAACTTGATGACGAATTCATGATTTGAAAACTCTATCTGGCCTCTGAGACGATTCTGACATGGGAAGACATATTGCACTGTGCAAGTATTAAATGCATCTCCTGAAAACAAAAAAAAACCACCTCACTATTTTATTTTATCTTTTTTATCTTCACCCAAGAACATTTTTTGTTTGTTTGTTTTTGTATTCATCTTCGGATAGAGCAAGAGGGAGAGAGGGAGGAAGAGAAAGAGAGAGAAACATTAATGTAAAAGAGACATATTGACTGGCTGCCACCCACACGACCCCAACTAGGGCAGGGGATAAACTGCAACTGAGGTACGTGCCCTTAGTAGGAACCGAACCTGGGTCTCTCTGGACCACGGGCTGACACTTTAACTGCTGAGTCAAACTGGCCAGGGCCCACCTCACCTATTTTAATATGCAGCTTTCTGGTACCAAATATGTTCATCCTGTTTCAAAACCAGTTTCTAATTTATTACTAAACACGTAGAAGGAATAATAGAGAAGGAGAAATTGTATAATTCTGGGCAGTTCAGATGAATCCAGAATTGCAGATGATTTAAATCATTCTTGGGATTGTTTTTCAGTTTGCTTGTAGCATCTATTACCTATGAGCTGCAGACTTACAAAGCACAATAAAAACGCTTAGGAAGTAAAACAGACACAGGGCAATCACGCACACTAATATACTTACAATCAGCATACAATATACTAAATGAGGTCCCCAGGCAATCTGACAACCTATTTGTGGTGAATTGGGGAGCACTGCCAAGCTAAGCAGGCTTTCTCAACTGCTCTGATAATTCGGTAGATTCTAAGACAGTCCTGAGTCATCCTGCCTCCGGGTATCCATGCCCTTGAGAAATCTCCTCCCCTTGAGTATAGGTGGGGCCTGTGACTTGGTTCTAGCCATCATAATATGGCAAAAGTGATGAGACATCACTGCAATGGTTCCGTTGCTTGAGACTGTAGTGTTCTCCTGACGAGCAGGCTCTCCTTTGGGTTCTGATAGAAGCTGGTGTGCTGTGCACTGCCCTGTGGAGAGGCCCGCATGGCACCAGGCTGAGGGCAGGCTCAGACAGCCAGGAAGGAACCCAGCCTTCAGTCGAAGCCCACAGGCCCGCATGGCACCAGGCTGAGGGCAGGCTCAGACAGCCAGGAAGGAACCCAGCCTTCAGTCGAAGCCCACAAGCAAGGCTTCCCCTTTATTTCCACACGAGCTTCAGCTGGGCCTTCAGGTGAGATCCAGCCCTGGCCAGCACCTTGACTGAAGCCTCTCGAGAGACCCTTAGCGGTGGACCCAGCTAAGCCTCGCCCGGATTCCTGACCCGTGGAAATTGTGAGATAATGTATGTCTGGGGTTTTAGACTGCTAAGTTTGTAGTAATTCGTTACGCAGCAACAGGTAACTAACACATCTAGCCATGATCATCGTCAACTCATTCATTCCTTTGTTTATTCAACAAGGTTTTAAAATAAGTAATACGTATTAGACATATGCTAAGTACTAGAAAACGAAACAATCATGATGCATATCCTTAAAGAGCTTATCATCTAGTAGAAGGGTTATGGGGATCTAGGTATTAACAGCTAACCATACTTAACACTTAATAATCTCGGTCAGATAAGTGCAATGTGAAAAAAGCATATCATAGTATAAGTGTTAGTACAAAAGGGCAACTAACTCAATGTGGAGGCCCACGGAAGGCTTCCTTGAGGAAGTGACATTGGAAGAATTAGTAACAGTTAGCTCTTCCAGGCAACAGATCAGCAGGGGAGAGGGCAGCAGCCAGGCCCTTGTGTGGAAGCCGAGAATTGTTTTATTTTTTTAATTTTAATTTAATTTTTTTTAATCCTCACTGAGGATATTTTTCTATTTATCTTCAGATAGAGTGGGAGAGAGAGAGAGAAATGTCAACGTGAAAGGGACACATCGACTGGTTGCCTCCTGCATGGCCCGGACTAGAGCCAGGGATGAACCACAACCGAGGTATGTGCCCTTGACCGGAATCGAACCCAAGCCTCATTGATCCACCGGCCGACACTCTAACCGCTGAGCCAAACCAGCCAGAGCAAGAATTGTTTTAAATAAGAAGTGACACAATCAGACTTGTATGTTAAAACAGGAGGGTTCTGTGGTCACTTTAGAATTTCTATATGTAGTCTACATTTATAAAGAGCTTACTGTATTCCAAGTACTGTTCAAAACATTTTTTTTATGTATTAAAACATTTGTCACATAACCCTAAGAAAGGAACCAAGCCATCTCCATCTTACAGATGAAAAAACTGAGGCACAGAGAGATTTGGTAACTTGCCCAAGACCATGTGGCTGGCAAGCGGCAGAGTGGAGGTTTAAACCCAGGTAGCCGGCTCCAGTACCCCCCTGCTCCATGCTCTTCCCTAGTCTCCTTCCGATTGCGGAGGGAGTTGATCATTTACCCTGCAGCTGTGCTCGAGTATCACTTTAAAACTGGGGAGACATCCCTGGCCGGTTTGGCTCAGCGGTTAGAGCATTAGACTGAGGTCCAGAGAGATCCGGGTTCGGTTCCCGCTAAGGGCATGTTCCTTGGTTGCAGTTTGTCCCTGACCCTGGTTGGTCGTGCGGATGGCAGCCACTCGATGTGTCCCTTTCACATCGATGTTTTTCCCTCTCTCTCTCCCTCTCTCGCTCCCACTCTGTCTGAACAAAAAATGGGAAAATGTCCTTGGGTGAGGATTAAAAAAATAAAAATAAAACATAAAAATAAATAAATAAATAAAACTGGGGAGACAATAGCTGTCTGTGTCGAGGCTGTCTGACCTAGAGCCAGGAGCCACCTGTGGCTGCAGGCATGCGGACGTGGCTCCACATGTCCACGTTGGGATGGGTGGTGAGTGTAAAACACACCAGGCTTTGAAGACTTGGTATGAAAAAGAATGTAACGTGTCTCATTCATAATTTTTATCTTCATTTCGTGTGTATAAAATGTAATGCTTGGGAATATTGGGTTAAAATGAACTACTAAAATGAAAGTCACCTGCTTATTTTTACTTCAAAAATCTAGTTACTGGAATATGTGATACCGCGTGTGTGGCTCACAGTGTGTTTATGGAATGACACTGGCCTGTGTAAAGGATGGGGGTGTGATGGAGGCTATGGAATGGGGAACCAAAGCTTTTCCTAAGGCATCTCTGGGTGCCACCCTGGAGGCCACCCTGGTGTTTCTACAGGAGCACAGAGGGGAGATTTTACAATGTCCCCCCAAAGAAGAGGTGGTGGGGAAGATGCCTGGAGGAGAAGGGTCTGAAGCTGACCAAACCCCCAGAGCTCTGGGGGTTGCTCGCCTTCACCTCACTTCACACCTTCAGTGAAATTAACTGCCACGTGCTCCAAAATGTGGCAGAGATGCCCGAGTAGGGAGCTGAGGTTTAGCACAGTGTGGTATGTGGAAAGTGCTGTCCCAGTGTGAGCTCTCATCATTTTTGTTGGTCCATGCCCAATTCTGGGAGGAAGCAACAAGGTCACCGGCTGTCAGAGGCCTGTCTAGTCCTGGGTTGTTGACACCTCGGCATCCACCGGTGTGGTTTAGAGGAACCTCCCCAGTTGTCCAGGCTGAGACCCTCAGGAAGGACCTCTGACTGCCCTCGCAGTCAGATTTAATTGCTTGCCAACTGGCAAGTGGAGACTTGGAGTTGGGTTTAACTAGATTTAGAAAAATAATATGCCACGATTGTTACTGCTGAGCATTATATTCGAGTAAAATTCATGTCCATTACTGAGACCTCTGATTTTTTTTTTTTTTTAATCCTCACCTGAGGACATTTTTCTATTTCTTTGTTCAGATAGAGTGGGAGGGAGAGAGAGGAAGAGAGAGAGAGAGAAACATCAACGTGAAAGGGACACATCGAGTGGCTGCCACCCGCACGACCAACCATGGCCGGGGACAAACTGCAACCGAGGTACGCGCCCTTAGCGGGAACTGAACCCGGGTCTCTCTGAACCGCAGGCTGACGCTCTAACCGCTGAGCCAAACCAGCCATGGCGAGACCTCTCATTTTTAAGCCAAGAGAGAAACTTCAGCAGTTTTAGGGGAAACTTAGCCTAGACTTACATTTTTTGATTAATAGTCAGTGCTACTGGACATGAAGAAAATCTTCAAACATTTTTCTAATGTAATTGCCCATTATGTCTGTCTGTGTATTTGAAATATTATAAAAATTATTTTATAACCTGTAATGTTTTGAGGTCCTTGAAGGCTTCTGGATGAATTTTGAATATCTTGTTGTTCCTTAAATACAGGTTCTTCATTTGCAGGCAGTTATAAAAATCAGACACACCGATTTGCAATATCCCATTGAATGACAGATCCAAATTCTGTAATGACTTCAGTTTCCACAATCCTATTAAAATTAAAAAGCAAATTAAAGTATTGCCTTGGCTGGTGTGACTCAGCTGGCTGGGCGTTGCCCCGTGCCCCAAAAGGCTGCTGGGGCTTTTGGGCTTGGTCCCCAGTAGGGGACACGCAGGAGGCAGCCGATTGATGTCCCCACTCTTGCATCGATGTTCTCTCTCTCCCTCTCCCTCCCTCCCTCTCTCTCTAAAAAAAAAAAATCAATGGAAATGTTGGCGGAAAAAAAGTAAATTAAAATATAAACTGGTGATATTGACTGCAGCATCGTTTGTAAGGATGAAAGAGTGTAGGAAACCTACATGCTTCTCAGTGAGAAGTGGTTAAACAAACATGGTGTGTCGCACCATGAAGCACTTCGTCTTCAAAGAGAACGGGGTGGGGGGCACGGCTGCACAGGAAGGAAATGTGAAGCTGCTGGACAGTATGGACTAGCCTTCCAGGGTTCCTGGGAAAAAGAGCCATTTGCACCTATGTATTGTACTTTGAGTGAGCAGGAAAAAGGCCTGAAAGGAGGTGAACTAAGCTATTAGTAAAGCTTACGCTTAGGAGCAGGATGGTTGTGGGAGGTGGAGTTGGAGAGGAAGGAAACTATTTTTATTTTATACATCTTTGAATTCTTCCTTTCAGTGAGCACGCACTAATTTAATAATGAAAGCATCAATTACAAATATCTAACTTTGAAGAATTAATATTTATTTGATGAAACTATGGGTAAAACGGAACAGTTATTTTGATGATTTATTTTTATGGATGAACTCTTGGGGTTTTCAAATGTTCTTACTCTATTTTGTAGCTATATCCTTTCTTTTATCTACATATTGTTGATGTTATAACTATTTTCTAGGCATTCTTGTATTTTTTTTAAGGTAGTAGGTTCCAGCTAGATTTTGTATTCTGGCAAAATAATCTAATTGAGTTTTGGTCTCTGTCTTTGTATTTCACCCAATGCCAGAGAGTAACCAGGAGGCCCATTTGGCACTGAACAGAAAGCTTGAGAATGAGGTGCCAGTCACAGCAGTCTCCCAAATTTAATTTACCATATGAGTCCCACAAGGAAGCCCTGCATTTTTACAGTTCCTTCTGCTCTGTTCTCACATGTAGTCTTTGTCTTTAACCAACTACTACATAATGGATCAAGTTGGTTCAATTCCAGAAAGGTTTATTCCTTGCTTACTGTCTTCAGGGTGCTTACTGTGAGACTGATCATGTAGAAAGATGATGGCTGAATCGAAATGGCTGTGCATCTGTGCTATCCTGTGTCCATCTCAGCTGTACAGACTAAGTGAGTGATGCTTAGGACAACAACTCAATCAGAACATCAAGGCACTTGGTCCTGAGAACAAATATAGCACAGAATCCTTGTGTCTGGTAGAATGATAAAATCTAGAAAAAGTTACAGTCATACAAGGCAAGCATACCCCTCCATCCATCTATCCTCTCCAGGAGATGGTCAGCCCCTTCAGGGCAAAGCTCACATCTTCATGAACTCCTCCAATGCCTGGAATATAACATGCCAGAGGTCACAATATTTGGCCTGCACAAAGATTTAAAAATTATTGAGCTGACAATAAAGATTCAATATAAAAAATTTGCATTTCTAGCTTCTCTTAAACAATTGGAAGTTCCAACTGGCACAAGATGACGTTTGGCTGGAGCTGAATGAGGGCTGGCTGTCTTAGATGGACACGCACTTACAGAGAAATAGAATTTCTTTGTACTTATGTCTCTATCAAAAGTAGGAAAACAAAGGATAGGCCAAGAAACCTGCATGTTTAAAAAAAAAATAGGGAGAGAACCATGGCTAACATGGTATCAGCTGGCATGTGCTGGTAGGAAATGGGTAAATTAGCCATTACTGACCAGCCCCTGGGAGCTGCCCCACTGTCCCAGGCACTTCAGTACCCCCCCTGGAGAAAACGTTTCTTTGAGGAGCGAAGAATATTCCTACATGTTTTAATATGCAAACATATGGGCTTATGAGGAAACAACATTATACACCAATATAAAAGAAGCTATCGTTTCCTTGACATTTTCATGATACCTGCCTGGCCTTTGCAGGGATGAGAATTTAGGGATGAGAATTTAGGGTTCCTGCAATTTCTCAGTGCTTAATTGAATTGAATATGTACACCAGGAGATCAGTGGAGGGGAGATCAGTGGAAGGAAGAAATTATTTTAAAACCCCCATTTAATTGTGCACGCTTTTTGCGCTCTGAGCATTTCACAAACATCTCCTTTTAATCCTCACAAAGCCCTGGGGGTAATTACCATTTTGTAAATTGCTAAACCTAGGTGCAGCAAGTTAAGAACGTGCCTGTGTCATGGTGGGTTGAGCTGTGGAGCTGGGGTTGAAACTCAGATCTTTTAACTTATTCATTACCATTTAACCATGCACATTTCTTTAAAACAACAACAACAAAACAAAAACCACGGCATGGTCAAGGCCTTGGAAAATAACTTGAGTTTAGAAAAGGAAAAAGAAGGCTGGGGGTAGGCTCTCTGCTCAGGAGAATGGTATGGGCCATGGAATACATAAAATTACCAAATGTATTGGGGTTCTTCAGTGATTCTACTTGTATCATGAATAGTGAATAGGGTACTTAAGGTGTGAATCAAGAAGTATCATTTAAGGTGTCCATGCCTCAGTTTCCTCCCTTAAAAACGGTTTCTCGCAGGTGGAATTGAAATTTGTATTTGATTACTATGATCTTCAATATTTTGAGCTCAGTGGAAGACAGGTGTAACAATTTAGATTAATATTCAGCAAATATTGATTTTACTGTGAGAAGAATATGCATCCTCATCCTATTGAGTTTGGTCATGTGACTTGCTTTGGCCAATGACATGTTAGAAGACATGTGAGCAAAGATTTGAAATGTGCTTATTTGATGGGGATTGTTCTCTAGGCTTCTGCCAAAGAACAGTTATGAAAATAACATGCCCTGATTAGCCTGCTGGCCTTACTTGTTTAGGGTCTCTCAAGGTGGCCTTGGGAAATTTGAGGACTCTTCCATGATATTGGCTGCCATTCTCAATGGGGGAAATATGTTCCTTTTAAAAATTTTTTTATCCTCACTCGAGGACACTTTTGCATTCATCTTGAGACAGAGCGGGAGAGAGAGAGGAAGAGAGAGAGAGAAACATCGATGTGAAAGAGACACATTGAGTGGCTGCCACCCACACTACCCCAACTGGGCCCGGGGACAAACCGCAACTGAGGTACATGCCCTTAGTGGAAACTGAACCCGGGTCTCTCTGGTCTGTGGGCCGATGCTCTAACTGCTGAGCCAAACCAGCCAGGGCGGGAAATAAGTTCTTTTAAAACTTTTGCAGGGTGAATCAATATTGAGGGGGTGGGTATTCAGGTGAGTGAAAGATGTTAGGAAGTGCATTAGCTGAAGCTTGGACATCAGAGGGTAGATTCTATGTTTCAAGAGAGGAGAGTCAGATGTTGGGAAGAAAACAGGGAGGCACTTTTGTGGAATGGAATTATTTACTGAACTGCTTTCTGGTGATTGCACAGGCCATGGGAGGCAGGAATTTGATTAGCCTTTGCATTTAAGTGGCCAGAGGCAGTTTTATTACTTCCAAGAAATTATCTCAGTGTCTATTACAAAAAGGGCCACAGAAGGTATGCCCAGACATTACACTACCTTAGAAATATTCCTTTGGACTATGAACTTCCTAAATGTTCTCCCAAGTATGATACCTGGTAACACAGAACAATACTATTGAGGGGTCATGGCTTCAAGTTTATAGAGTATTAAGAAATGGAATAAAGTCTGGTCCTAGATAAGATATTTATTGATAAGGCCAGCTCTTAATGCAGTGAAATTTATAGAGGTGAGCCAAAAGACCTTGCCCTCTTAGCTTAATGGCATACATCCATTTTGTTACTTTATAACCTGAATTGTTTTTGAAAACATTGGTTATTGGTATTCCCATAATCCAATAGCAATCAGGATGAAATGCTTAATTCCCTATAAATGAAAAGAATATAATGTACTTTTTTTTTTTTTTTTAAACAATAGTTATGTATTTTTTATTCTACCAGTTTCAAAGTCAGGTATTATTTCCTCTCATTTCTAACACATTTATCTCTTGGGTTCTGAAATTTAGTGTGTTAATTAATGTCAGGCTGTCACATCACATCTGGCCTGTCAACCTAACTGGAATCCCAAGGAGATGTCGGTCCTGAAAGAGTTCTAGGTACTCTGTGGGCACTCTGGAAACACTGCTCGATAAAGGTGGGATAGTTTAACTGGAGACCTGTCCCATTGTTTTACATTTTTAAAACTGATTTTCCATTATTAACACTGTACTCCAAAAATATGGGAGGAAGGAAGAACAATCATTAAGGTTAAATTCATGGCTGGCTTCTGTCTTGTAAGTTGCACTGGCTTTCACCTCCTCTGGGTTCTTTCCCAGCATGAAGCTTATTGATGACATCACAGCTGACTCTGAAGACAGGATGGGCTGTCACTGGGTTAGTCACTGTGATAGTTCACCCTCACAAAAGTGGGCTTTCCTGGGTGAAAGCAACTCTTTGCTGGCTCTGTTAACCATCACGGTTTGAAGACCTGTGGGATGTGATTTTAGAAGGTACACATGTGCTGCAAGGCAAGCTGCCTGATGGCTGTTTTCTGAGATCGCTTTCAGACAGGAGCAAACACTTATATAAACAGTTAGACACAAAAGATTCTTGGCTCATGAATTACAGTGGGCTAGGAGTCCCATCTACTGCAACAGTTATTTAACATTTTAAAAGATAACTTGAGATTCTGAGAAAAACAAATTTATTATTTGTTTCTAAATAGATTTATTCTCCCTTTGTGCCAAGAGAGTAATAACAAGTAATATTTGCAAACTACTTTACAAGGTTACAAAGTACTTTTCACATATTTTAATAGCTACCATTTATTATGTTAAATTAGGTTCTTGAGATACATTTGTTCTTTACTCCTCACAACTATTCTATAAGTAAGTACCACATTATCCAGATGTTACCTTTAAATAGGCTGAGAATAAAGGAATCCAGCAAGTACAGAGGAAATGTCAGAAACCACAGGGGACTGCAGGCAGCACCTCTCTCACCAGCTTTCCCCTTCAAAGTGGGATTTTAAAGTCAGTTATCTAGCCATAGTCACAGAATCATAAAACGAGAAGGGATGTTAGAGGGGACTCAATCTAGTAAACACTGAAAATGTATGTCGATTTTGGAAAAACAATTCATATCATAAAATGCTATGGGTAAAAGAACTCTGAATTACATCCAATTAGATTCTGGGCTCACACTGGCCTTCCATCACCCATCTGTTTCATTCATCTCTCTATGGTTTCATGTGCAAGAATTCTAATAGAATTTCAGACACAGGAACTGTCATTTCCCTTCCTGTTTCTTCTTTGCAAGTTTAACATTTTTCCTGATATTTGGGGAGGCCAATTTTAACTCAGAAAAAGAAGATGGGGGCTATATCTGCATTTTATAGGGGTATTTGGTTCTTAAATGAAATTGTACCTGCCCTAACCTCCAATTAGCTCTGGGGAATTCATCTGCCTTAACGAGACATGTTCAGCATTTCTCTATTTACTCTTGTGGTGGGATAATATTTGACATATTAATATTTCACCTCTCTCTGTTTTCCTCTTTCCCTGTCTCTCCATTCAAGCACTAGGTCTGTCTGTGTTAATGGCCCAAGAGGAGGTACAAAGCAGAAGAGTCTACATGTCTTTCTGGCTCTTGTTTTCCAAAGGCCTAAATCTTTATTTTTTAATATTTTTACTTATAAATTTTATTTTATTTTCCCATCATCATCTATTCCCTCTATGCCCTCGTCCATCCTCCACCTCCACAGTCACCACACTGTTGTCCATGTCCATGAGTTCTTTTTTTTCTTTTTTGCTCAATACTTCCACCCACTCTAACATCCCCCACCCCCATCAGAGCTGTCTGCCTGCTCTCTCTGAGTCTGCCTGTTCAGTTTGTTCATTAAATTCCCCATATGAGTGAAATCATATGGTGCTTGTCTTTCTCTGACTGCCTTATTTCACTGAGCATAATGTTCTCCAGGTCCATCCACGCTGTCACAAAGGGTAAAATATTTTCTTCATTTTTATGGCAGAGTGGCCTAAACTTTCAGAGGAAAGGAATTCCTAGAACTAGACAGAGGATTTAGAAGAAATAAAAGGGGGAAATTTTTTCTCCAAACTGAAAAGACTGAAAAGAAATGTTCTTTGGCTAACAGGGGTAAGGGACAGATGGATGCATGCGTGCACACACACACACACACACACACACACACACACACACACTGATGCCTTGTCAGAGTTTAAGATTCTAGATCTGTGGTGAAAGTCTGGAAAAAGGCAGAGGAAAGCTCACAAAAGATTGATGTTAAGTACAAGTACCCTACACTTCACCCCAACTGATCCTAGTAGAATTCAGACTCAGAAACAGAAACTATGTTGAGTTATAGACAATAAAAGGTTATAGCTCTACAGAAAAAGACAAATACCACATGATCTCACTTATATACGGAATATAATGAACATAACAGTCTGAGGAATACAGCAGACCCAGACACATGGAAGTAGGGCACAGACTGACATCCCTCAGAAGAGGGGATGGGGGGTTGGGGGGGTGGGAAGAGATAAACCACAGAACTTATATGCATGTATGCATGACCAATGGACATGGACAACTAAGCCGGGGACAGGGTGGAGGGGGGGTAGGGTGGGGGGTGCCAATGGGGTAAAAAGGTAAAATATCTGTAACAAAAAAATAAATAAAAATTCATAAAAAAAAAAAAAAAAAAAAGGTTATAGCTCTAGTGTACTTGAATTTGTGGGTTGATATTTACATCTACCATACTAGTTAAATAATGTTATATCATATGGGTATGTATAGCTATAATGTTCATCAAAGAGTTATAGCAAACAAAAAGAAAATAACCTAAATGTTGTTTGATTAAATCAATTATAATATATTTATATGTGAAAACTATTTAAAATATTATTTATGAGATTGCTTAATTACATCAAAATATTCAAAATATTCTGTGTTATAAAATATTATAGAAAGTATAATCCAATTTGAAATAAAAATATATATGCAGACATAAACAATAAACCTAAAGTATATACATTGCATGAAGGACTTTAATTTTTCCCTTAAAATTTTTCTTCAAATTCTAATGTTCTACAAATAACAGGTATTCCTTTTATAAGAACATTACAATAAAAATTATAAAATAAAATGTAATTAGTTTACACCTTACACTGAAAATACTACACATTGCTTTTATGAAAAAGGTCAGGGAGAGAAGACTCCTATCCTCCTCACACAATTCTACTGATAAGATGACTGGAATAGTTATTCTTTTACCCCTTCAGAATATTATTGTCAAAATGATGCTTAAAACAAGACCAGAAACTAGAGAAAGAGCAAAAAAATAAAAATATGAAAGAAGTGGAAAATGAGAAAAACTAAATATGCATCATTTGGGATGGAGAAAAATGACAGTATCCTCACACTTTCTTTTTTAGCGTAGTGTCTTATAGAAAGTAAGTTCTTAGCAAATAGTGACCAAGACCAAAAACAAACAAGGAAAGGAAACTGTCTAGCTTCCTGACTGTAAAAAGGGCAAAGGAAGCTCTGGCTAATAAACCTGGTACGTTTCCGAAATAAAACATTGGTGATTAGCTAAGGATAAGGAATTCTGATTTTGACTTGATAAGAAATATTTCCAGTCTACACTTGGAGGGCAACTAGATAGGTAGAAACAAAAATTATTCTAAAAAAAATTACAAATATGCCCGGCTGTGGTGGCTCGGTGGATTGAGCGCTGTCCCATGGACTGAGAGGTCCAGGTTCGATTCCCGGTCAGGGTGCATGCCCGGGTTGCGGGCTTGATCCCCAGTAGGAGGTGTGCAGGGAGGCAGCTGATCGATGCTTCTATCTCTCTTTCTCCCTTCCTCTCTCTCTAAAAAAATCAATAAAAAAAATTAAAAAAAAAAAATTATAAATATGGCAATAGATTTCATTTGAATTGTATTATATATTAAAATTATCTGAACTAGTTATTTCTCAGTGCTTTTCTTTTCTTTTTTTAAATTGATTTTTAGAGAGATAGAAAAGGAGAGGGAGAGGGAGACAGAAACATGGATGAGAGAGAAACATTGATTGGCTGCCTTGTGCACGCCCTCTACTGGGGATTGAGCCCACAACCTGGGCATGTGCCCAGTTCATGAGTCCATGCTCAACCACTGAGTCACACTGGCTGGGCATGCTTTTCTGTATTTAGTCACAAACATATGATAATCAAAGTAGGTAATTTAAAATTGTGCATTATTATTTAGCACTTAAATACTTCCTAGTGTCTCTCGACAAATCCACATGACATTAATGTAAATTTATAGTGATGGGAGATTAAATAACATTGACTATAAATTCCACATATAACTTCAAATTTTATGAAGAAACTCCTTTTATTATATTTGCTTGGATCAAATTGTTTTATTTTCAACTACTTCCTCAAAACTGAAAGCAAACACGGAATCCTCATTGACATAGAACACGAACTCTCCATGTACTCATTGTTTGTTGGTCTAGCCCGCCCCTTAAGACTGTACTTACCCCTGGGAACATCGCTGAGTTTATTTCTGTGAAGAATTAGCAGCCTTAGATGTGGAAGCCCATTTCTCAAGCTGCTTCTGTGGTGTTTCACCCATGAGGACTTAGGACTGGGTAGATCCAATGAGATGGAACGGATGGCATTGTTGCTGAGGTTTAATATTTCCAAACCATGTAAATGTGCAAGAGGGCTTAAGGTTATTCTTGATATGAGATTGTTACTGAGGTCCAGGTATTTTATATTCCATTCTTTTTTCGTGGGGGATTGTAAGAGAGCCCTAAAGAAATTGGAACTTACATCGATTGTGGCTGCTGTCTGTGATATGTCCACAGGTATATCATACTTTCCAGTAAAGGAACAATTTTTCAGAAGATATTCCTTCCAAAGGCACTCAGAATTGAAGAAAATACTGCTTTTTCTTGATGGGTTTGTCACAGTTCCAGTAAAATAAAGACATAGAGCCATGGTAATGACTCTGAAACATAGGTTTTTCATGATGCCTGGAGAAAGGAAAATGAATCGACGTATTTATTATAACATGTAAAAACTAACAGCAAATAAGCAGAAAATTTACTTTCCAATTTAAGATTGAGGAAAAGTATCTTGCCTTGATTGCCAATTTAAGTGAATGTTTGATTTCTTAGAAATTTCTTAGAAATAATGGCATTAAAGTATAGCTACCAAAAATTATATAGCTATAGTATAAAATTACATTTATGTCACATTCTGAAGAAAGACTCCCCTGATTTTTCAGAAAAATATATATTCACTTGGGCCTCACCTCTGTGTCTGCTTTTCCAGGACCATTCATGCAGCAGTCTGCTTTGGAGTGAAGAAAACCTACCAAGATCAAAGGCTTCTCTGCTTCCTTGCTGGTCATTAGAACAGAGCAAAGTCTATTATCTACAACACTGTAATCAGCCACGTGACATTATGTGAGTGACAAGCCATCCAGTTACGCTGAACTGTGGAACTGTATGGGTGGATAGTTCAACTCACAAAAGAGATTCTTGATTTTTTTTTGGTATGTGCCCCTAGCAGGAACCGAACCCGGGACTCTCTGGTCTGCAGGCCAACGCTCCAACTGCTGAGCCAAACCGGCCAGGGCTTGATTTTTTTTTTTAATGACTAAAATAACTGTAAGCTTTGTCTTTGTCATATTTCAAATCATGTTGAAATCATTTAGGTATAGCCAACATAAATAAAATGGGTTATAAAAAAGATGCTCTACCTCGGAACAATGAAGACGTAAAAAGATACAGAAACATCAAGTACCTTTTTCACCAAAGATTTTTGAGAAGCAATTAATAGTTTTAAAACAAGTATTTACATATTTCAATGGCTAAATATAGACACAAATTTTTTAAAGTAAATAATTTTTATAATTTGTTTTAATGACACTAAATTTCATTATAAAACCAGGGAGCATACAAGTAACCACATTATTCAGTATGTAGGTTTACAACAAATTGTCCTTTCCTTTCTGTTCTAACAGTACCATTTAGTTTATCACTAGTCTGAAATACTAGAATGGCTTAACTGTTTTTCCTGCTGTAGACTTTTGATTTTTTTTCTTCTTGGTCCATCCTACAAAATTCAAAAGGGTCATTTCCCCATGATACCGTTTTCCTTATATCATTCCTTCATTCAAATCCCTCAAAGGTCTTCTTAGTGCCTGTAGCCTAAATCCCTTAGGTTGACATCTAGAGCTTTGCATTATCTAGCTAACCTATGGACCACTTAGATGTGGCTGTGCATAGCATGATACATGTACAAGTACACGTACCTGTACATATACACGTACATCTCATACTGCAACTAGCTTTCAGTCCATTCCCAGTTCCAAGCTCAACACCTTTTCCTCTCCTCAGTGCAAATCCTACATATCTCAAAACCTATGGCTCAAAGACCCTTTCTCCAGCTTTAACCTCTATCTTTTCAGAAATCTTTCCATAAATATTTATTGAATGAATGAATGCATTAGTAACATTCAGTTTGACAGAATATCAGTATTATCCTGCATTCCTATTTCTTTGTGTCTGTTTTAAACTCCCTGAAAGACAGTAAGCTCCTAGAAGGCAAGGACCACGTTTTTCATGTGCTATACTGGATATGTAAAATTTCCCCCTCATGTTTTATAGTTTTAACAGTCTGCAGTCTGTTGTGTGGCTATGTGCCGTTTGGATGAATGAATGCAGAGAGCAAACAAAATTTAACATGTGACTTTTAAACATTGGTTTAATACAAGGTCAATTCTCCATGTTTTGAAGAGCATCTAAATGCAGGTACACATGACCATGAACTACAAAGGTGCCCTGCAGCATTGAGAAGTGACTTATTTTTATAGTGAGGCTCTTATGTAATACCAGAAATTGAATTAATTTCTAGCTGGAAAGATATATATTTTTTTAATCCTCACCCGAGGATATATTTACATTTATTATCAAATAGAGTAGGAGGGAGAGAGAGGGAGAGAGAGGAGAGACAGAAACACCAGTGTGAGAGACACTTCAACTGGTTGTCTCCTGCACAACCTGACCAGGGCCAGGGATGAACCACAACTGAGGTACATGCCCTTGACTGGAATCGAACCGGAGACTCTTTGGTCTGCGGGCCGACGCTCTAACCACTGAGCAAAAACCGGCCAGGGCAGACATTTGTTTCTATAATTAAAAGCTGCAAAAAACAACAATGAGGTATCACCTCACACCTGTCAGAATGGCTGCCATCAGCAAATCATCAAACAACAAGTGCTGGTGAGGATGTGGAGAAAAGGGGACTCTAGTACACTGCTGGTGGGAATGCAGACTGGTGCAGCCACTATGGAAAACAATATGGTGTTACCTCAAAAAATTAAAAATTGAACTGCCATTTGACGCAGTGATCCCACTTCTAGGAATACACCCTAAGAAGCCTGAAACACCAATCAGAAAGAATATATGTACCCCCATGTTCATAGCAGCACTATTTACAATAGCTAAGATCTGGAAATAGCCCAAGTATCCATCAGTAGATGAATGGATAAAAAAGAAGTGGTACATATACACAATGGAGTACTATGCAGCTGTAAGAAAGAAAAATCTCTTATCCTTTGAGACAACATGGAGGGACCTAGAGAGTATTATCCTAAGCAAAACAAGCCAAGCAGAGAAAGACAAATATCACATGATCTCACTTATTTGTGGGATACAATGAACATAACAGTCCGAGGAACAGGGTAGACCCAGAGACGTGGAAGTAGGGTACAGACTGACAACCCTCTGAAGAGGGGGTGGGAGAGGAGGAAAGAGATAAACCACAGAACTTACATGCATGTATGCATAACTGATGGACAAGGACAACAAAGCTGGGGACGAGGTGGGGGGGATGGGGAGGAGGGTGTCAATGGGGTAAAAAATGAGAAACATCTGTAATAAAAATTAATTTAAAAAAAGCTGCAATCATCATATAAACAACTGTATACCAAACTAATACAGTATCAGCAACAAAAAATACAGTAATTCACAGGCATATTACTTTGTAGTATTGAAGAGAAACGTGGTTAAAAAAAACTTATTCTTAAGAGGTCTTAAGTTAATGATTTTCACTGACCTGGTTCTTTCTAAGTTTAAGAAATCTATACACTAACTAATAAATTTGAGTTCAAAACAGCGAGGTAATGATATTCTTATGTCCTAAAGTAAAAGGTATTAATTTGTAGAGAAAAATGATATGGACTACATATAAACTTTACATGTATTAGGTAAGGGACCCCTGAGAACTTTAGAAAAATTTTGAGGAAATGAAGGACAGTTTAGTAAAATGTAAATCTTTAAATAGACATATTCAAGCTGAAGTATGAGGAAGCAGTTAGAAATACTGGGTGTGTATGTGTGTCAGAGTGAGAGAGATAGAGAAAAGGCAGTAAAAAAGAAAAACAAAACAAAACACCCAACAGAAAGTAGAAAGGAGATAGAGTCTGTTCTTATATAAAAGGAAGTTAAAACAATCAGAAAAAAAAAACAGAAGAGGCTATTTTTGATAAGATATAGAAAAAACACAACAGTAGCAATGTTTCTAAGCCATACCTTATCTTTAGTAGTTTCCAAATGTGTCTCTACCTGGATCAAGCCAGGTGGGAATTTTAGACCTGAGCCTGGGTGGCTCCACCCATCTGCCCATGGAGCCTACCCTGTGGTAAACCTTGACCCTTTCATCACAGGCCCTGGCCTCTTGCCACAGTGACAGCTTGCACATTTGCCTGGGACACTGTGGGAATAGCCACTGGAAGGAGAGGCCTTCTGTGACGTGCAGAGGGAGATAGGACCAAACTGGGACTGTATAACTCCTACCATTGAGCTCTAGCATCCAGAGAGATCACATCGATATGGACAGTGTCCCATTCTCAAGCTATATTTAAATCCATCATGTTTGTATGATTAAGTAGAAACATGCTAATATTTCAAACACTTAAAAATTAACACCATCAACTGACAGAATCTTTATTATAAACAGTTATTACAAACTGAATTAACTGAAACTCAAAGTTAGCAATCTGAATCAGATTTGTAGGTTTATTTTTGTTCAGCACAATTTGTCATCTTTGCCCCTTCAGCACTTTTTAAAAGGATGCTAAAATTATCAGCATATCAATGGTCTCTTTTTTGTCAAGTTTAGCACCAGGACATTCTTACCCTCTTAAGAAAACTAATTCAAAACTAGGTAGAACTTCCACCTTTCATCATCAAAGCTATTACACAAAATTTTTTTTTTCATAATGCAAAAGAGTACAAAGTATATTTAAAAATACTGCAGACTATATATAGGCAGTCCTCCCCGCCTTGTGTCGTTTTGCATTTTCCTACCTACTCATCAGACAGTCTCTAAGGATCTTGCTTTTATTTCGCCTGTCCCCCTGACCAGGGCAATCCACCTCGAAAGTACTGTACTGATGTAAATAGGGACATGTCTGCCCCTTTCTCCTGGGATCCCGTCTTTGTCAGCCACCTCTCTTTAGTCTGCCGCTTGTCACAGCAGTGCTCAATGTAGGGGAGGAACAGCTGGCAGAAAGAGGAAAGGTAACATTTCAGTTTAAATAAAAATACCATCTGGTGGTGAGAACGAGAAGCTGAAGCTTTATCATTATGCAAACTAGGTCACAGGTAAATGATGGTTTGTTCTTGATCTGCTCTCCAGCGAACTTTTCACTTCTACATTGCAGTGGAAAGGCAAGCTCACCTTCAAGTGTCCTCAGAAACGACACTGTTACCTTAACAGTCAGTTCTATAGAAACACTAAGATATCCTCTCAATCAGAAGCACTTCATGGAGATGTATCAAAAACACAAGTATTTCTCAAAGAGTAAAAGTAGATCATTTCATGAATTATATTCAATAAATAATATGTTGTAACATAGTGTTTGTAAGACTATTTAAAGAAAATTTCAAAAAAATCTAAATAGAGCAGGTGAGCAATGAATGAAAAATTTAAAAACATACTAAGCATCTGAATGAAAATTTCAATGAATTTTTCTGAATATCATTCAGATATTAAATGATACTGAATATATTAAAATAGATTTGGAATATCACTGCAACTTAACAGAGATCATAAATTTCATTCTTTTTTTTCATTTAAAAACTGTACTCAGTATTGTATACCTAGTCAGTCTCTTCAGTGTACCGTTCCTAATCTCTAAAGCATTTGGTTTTTCTATCAGGGAGAGCTGTAACATATTGAATGCAAATTGTTTTTTATATTGATTTTCCTATCCACACAGCTCAAAGTGACCACGACAGAATGCTGTTATACCTGAACCCACACTGCAGCCTATGATTTATCTCCACTGCCTCCTTTACGGCAAACTACTGCGAACGAAGCCTCTGTCCCTGATGTTGTGTATGTCTTAATAATACCAGAGAGTGCCTTTCAAGTCGAATATAAAGTACATTAAAAATCACTGACTTGAGGGCTGTAAATCATTCCAGTGAGAGGGCGATGTTAGAGCAGAGACCAACTCTCATACTTACAATTACTTGTATTATTTTCTTCATTAGCACCCTTTAGGTCAGTGCTTCCCAACTTTTTTCAAGCCACGGCCCACATTAAAAAGGGTGACATCTGTGTGGCACACACTGGGGTGGATCAACCAGGCCATTCCTGGCCAGCGGGACTTTCCTGGGGCCACGGCCTCCCCACTTCTTACTGTGTTGCCCTGAGGGCTGAGGGTATAAATATTTTGGCAACCCTTTCCCCCAGTTCAGGTACTCCAGTGTGCTGTGGCCAATTAGCAGGGAAACTGGGATGACCCATACGTAGCCCAATTTGCCCTCCCTAAGGTATAACATTTTGGATTTGGCTTAGGATAGTTTAAAATCTGACAGGGATTGCCATTTTTTTTGACATGAAAAAAAATTTTTTAAACTACAGTAAGCCTTTCTGCTTTGTTTGATTCTTATCTGTAAGTCTGAATTAGTCTTTGTTCATCTTTGTAGAGTTTTAAATAATTAAAACCAATGCAGATAGTGAAAATAGAAAGGTATTTGGAAGCAGGTGCATGTAGGTTTGAATCCCAACTCTGCTATTTTCTATGTGACATCAGGCAAGTTTCTTAAACTTTCTGATCCTCAATTTCCTAATGGTCAAACTGGGATAACAACACCTACTTACAGAGCCTTGGTGAGAATTAGAGATAGTACACATGCAACACCTAGGACAATGCCTATGATGTATAAGATGCTTAATAAATGAAAGCTATCATCATCATCTAGAAGTTAAAGCTAGGATGGTATTTTATTTTCTACCACATTGTGAACACTTAGTATTTATTAATATTTAACAAGTAAACATTCTATTAGAGTATTTTCTTCCTAGTGCAAAACTAAGGAACCACAGTCTCTTACCCTCTCACATATGTGAAGTTCTTCAATGACCTCACTTGCATGTGAAAATACATCTGAAAGTCAACGCACTAAATATCTGTCTTTCCTCTCAGAAGCCAAAAGACAGAGCATGTCACATTTACTGACATTGTACCTTTTAAACATCTTAAGTGGGTCTATGCCCATTAGTTACCAAAAGCTTACTTACAGTGAATCTAAACAGATGCTTCAGCCCTTTATCTTTTCAACAAGGAATAGTGGAATTTAAAAAACACTTTTTAAAAGATTAATTTGGATTTTATTCACTTTTGATCATTATTTTAGAAAATGTTAATTTGAAGATCAGTGTAACTTAATGACAGGTGTATTAGAATTTAGGTTCTCTGAGACTATTTTAAATATGGAGATTATAAACAGATACAGTAGTGCTCTGCAGGTAAAATAATTACCAGCTATCACAAACTCTGTTAAAAACATAATTGCATGCATACTCTTAAAAAAAAGTCAAGTCAAGATATGAGCATACTGAAGACCTCTCAGGTTCTTCTAAAGACTGTTTCCGCAGGGGTGGTCTGAGACTTGGCAGCCCATGTTCTGGCCCGTTACTTGTACTTTGAAGAGTGTCCCGTCAGCACACACGCAGAGCTTGTAGCGCACCCACTCGCCAGCACCGAACTGGTGTTCACTGGAGGAACTAGGCAGGCGAGTTGTGCTGACCATCACAGTTCCATTTAGGATGATGCTGTTTTCCTATTGGGAAAATAAGAATACAATTTATTTACCTCCACAAATGGGGATACAACAAATTTAATAAATAAAACTTACTGGAATATTAAGAAAAGGAGGCAGTAAGAAAGAGTGAAGTCATGACCAAACCAACAACAAAGAAAACAAAACTAATGTCAAGATTCAACCAGTGACCTCTTACTAATAGTTCACAATGTATACTATTACTTGTAACAAAACTTAGTTCTCAATTAGTTAAAATTACATCAAAATTGCTAAGTGCATGATAAGGCTGATGTTGATAAAGTCTGAGACCATTGTATTCACTTCCTAAGAGAGTTTTCACAAAGTTACTGATTGATAAGTTTCTGATGATGATAAGAAAAAGAATTTTCTCCTAGAGAAAATCAATTTTAATTTTCAGTGTTTTTGCATCACCACACATGAAAATTCTAACCATTTAATTTTGAAGACCAGGCATGCAGGGAAGCTGCCTGGGGGGTCTCTTCTTCAATCCCACTGTTCCAGGAACATCCTTGTATTGTAGGCCCTTTCTCTCTCCCTTCTTTCCTCTCTTTTGCCTTTTCTTTTCATCCATTCAACAGATAATTATTCAATGTCTACTATGTGTTAGATGCTTTGCTAGGTGCTGGGGATAAAGCAGTCAACAGACAGGCAAGTCCAAGTTCTCCTACAGTTGACATTTAAGTGGAGAGTGGCAGAAAATAAACATATAAACAGGTAAAACAAATAGGACATCATTTGAGCAAAATAAGTCAGGGTAAGTAGAGAGAGGGTGGCCAGGCAGGGGCTCCACTTTACACACGGTGGTTGGGGAAGGCCTCCCTGATAAGGTCACAGTCCAGTGGAAACTGGGTCACGTGGAGGAGTGAGCCATGTGAGTAACTGAGGAAGGGCACTCTGGGCACAGGAAACGATACATGCAAAGGCCCCAAGGTGAAGATGTGCCTGGGTTCAGGAGCAAGTAGGAGACCAGTGTGGCTGAAGCAGAGAGTGAGGGGGTAGACTGGTAAGAGAGGAGTCAAAGATATAACTAGGGGCCAGACATGTAAGGCCAGGGAATGGACTTTGGATTTTATTCTGAACTAGATGGGAAGCCATTTGGAGGGTTCTGAACAGGAAGTGATAGTGATCTCTTAAAAAGGATCACTCTGGCTTCTTTATAGAGAACTGACTGCAGGGTGAAAGAGGGAGGAGGGACCACTTAGGAGGCTGTTCCAACAGTGCAGGCAGGAAATGGTGGTGGTGGCAGACCCTGAAGGCTTTGCTGATGGACTGATAGGTACCACTTGGGAACCCTGAAAGAAATGAATGCTTGGGTAGGGAGGGAAGCTACAAAGATTTTAGTCTTGTTGAGTTTGAGATGCCTATTACATATTAAAGTAGAGAAGGTAGTTGGATATGTGAATCTTAATTCAAAGGAGAGATTAAAGCAGGAATTCCAAATTTGAAAATCATCAGCCTATAGAGGGTATTTAAAGCAATGAGAGGAAGTTGGTTATGAAGTAATGAAAACGACTCATTGATCAGGAAGTGATAATATATGGACTAAATATGGTTCCGGATAAATTTTTGTTTTTGTTCCAATGGTGCCATCTTGTGGTCATTTAATTTTATTTTTTTAATTCTAAAGCAGTTATTTATTTATTTATATCCTCATGCAAGTGGGAGGGAGGGAGAGGGAGAGGGGGGAGAGGGGGGAGAGGGGGGAGAGGGGGGAGGGGGGGAGAGAGAGAAAGAGAGAGAGAGAGAGAGAGAGAGAGAGAAACATCGACGTGAAAGGGACACATCGAGTGGCTGCCACCGGCACAATCCATCCAGGGCCGGGGACAAACTGCAACCGAGGTACATGTCCTTTGTGGGAACCGGACCCGGGTCCCTCTGGACTGCAGGCCAATGCTCTAACCGCTGAGCCAAACCAGCCAGGGCTAAAGCAGTTATGTTTTTAAAAAGCAGTTTGATTAAATTCTTTCTAATGATTAGCTATACACTTAAAACTAACTACTAATATTAACTGATTTACAAAGCTAATTATCTTTTCAATAACGGCTTTTATTTCTTCAACTGTGGAAAAACTGATATGTGTGTATGTGTATTATAAAGTATTTTAATGTTTGTCATATTAACAACAGGCAGAATTTTAAGGTAGAAAAAAATAAAAGATTTATGTCACTCGCTAATGGCTAGGTACACATCTATCACATCTATTGCTTCGAGTTTCTTGCACAGAGAACAGTGGTCCCATGGTGACCATTCGTCAACGCTAGTCTCTTAGAGGAATGTAACAAATACTCAGTATTGCCACTGAAGTTCTTGCAAGGATCACATTTTATGTTCTTCTTTTTTATTTGGAGAATATGTACTTTAAGGAGGAAAAGCTGTTTATGAAAGTGAAAGAACTTAATTTTTTAAAGTTTTTTTCCCTAAGAACTATGAAATTAAATTTAAGTACAGAATTATTTCATAAGTCCTTAGGTGTAAGTTCACTTTTGTCATTTAATACTCATTAAAAAATATTAATTAGCTTTACTTAATTAGCATATAGCAGGTGTTCAAAGACATTTTGAATAAATATGCTTTAACCAGAATTGTGAGCAGGTAAAAAATTTTCAGACGTATGGTTCCCTTATATGAAATATTTACCTATTAAAGTTCAGATATAATCTGTAAAGCACAAAGAAAATTTCACTTTTCAACAGCTAGAATAAAGGCAAAATCTTTTTCCTTTAGAATAATAGATGTATAAATAAAAATACATTTTATATATCTGCTAATTGATTTTTACATCACTAGATATAAAACCCAGGAATGGATATGAAAAATCTTTTTTTTTTTTTTCCTTTATTTATTTTAGAGAGAGAGGAAGGGAGAAGAAGAGAGAGAAATACTGATGAGAGAGAACATCAATTGGCTGCCTCCTGCATGCCCCCCACTTGGGACTGGGCCCACAACCTGGGCTTGTGCCCTGACTGGGAATCGAACCCAAGACCTCTTGGTGCATGGGTTGATGCTCAACCACTGAGCCACACCGGCTGGGCTGGGTATGAAAAATCTTTAACTGAAAAGAAACCCAACAACTTCAGAGAATGGATGCTTACTTTGATCTTCCAGATTTCTCTTTTGAAAGTTTTTTTTTTTATCCTCACCCGAGGACATTTTTCCATTTTTTGTTCAGATAGAGCAGGAGGGAGAGAGAGAGAAACATCGATGTGAAGGGACACATCGAGTGGCTGCCACCCGCACGACCAACCAGGGTCGGGGACAAACTGCAACCGAGGTACGTGCCCCTAGTGGGAACCGAACCCAGGTCTCTCTGGACCGCAGGCTGACGCTCTAACTGCTGAGCCAAACCGGCCAGGGCTGAAAGTTTTTTATTGTTGTTTTTTAGTTTTTGTTTTAGCCTTTTAAAATAATACAGGTATCATCATATAATTTTTTTTTTTTTAAAGAAAAGGACAGGCAAACAGAAATAAAATAAAAATAAAAGTCATCTGTTATCCTGCCACCCACAGCTAACCACTGCTGACACCTGGCATACCCTTCCAGATTTTATAAACATACATACGTTCTAAAAAATAAAAATGAGATATTCACAAATCATTTTATAACTTTCACTTCACAATCCATTTTGAACATCTTTCCTTGTCAAAATCTATTTAACTACATTACCATTTTTAATAATTGTACACTCTTCCACATACGGACTTATGCACCCAAGAATCTAATAATTCCCTTAAATTCTTAAAATATACTCACTGCTTTTAACTCCATATTGCCACCCATGTGAAATTCAATGGTTTTGCCCATAATGAACACTCCTTCATTTCCACGCACTATAGCACGTCCATCAACTTTTATATTTAAATCACTAGTAGCATTGCTGGTAATCTGAAAATTTAAAAAAAGTAGTGAAAGAGTGTCTAAATTAAAGTATTATTATCAGATATAGATGGGTAGGAGTTTCAACCATAAAATATGAAAGGCAAGTGTTTTCATTAGTGTTTTACAGATGTTGAGGTAAGAAGATGACTTGATAATGATCACATGAGCTAGGTAGTGACAAATCTAGTCCTCATCCTTTCTATTGTTCTGGAGTTTCTTTCATGTCACTATGGAACAGTAAAACTCCTCTCCCACTTTGAACCTTTAGACCAGTGATTTTCAACCAGTGTGCTGCAAGAATCTTTAGAACATGCAATACCTGACTATTTTGCCAGGGGCACTGACCTCTTTTCCCTTGGATTGTCAAGTAAAAAAAATTACAACAGCCAACACAACAATAGCTGTCTGATGTGAATGAATCAAAATTATATCTATTTTTTGGTCAGATTGGCAAAAAGTACATTTTTTGGTGCGCCACAGAATTTTGGTAATTACTTTGTGTGTGCCATCAGATGAAAAAGGTTGAAAATCACTGCTTTAGACAGTTATTCTCTTTTACAAATAAAGCAAAGAAAATAAATCATACCCTTTCAGTAGATGCTTTCTGAACATTCAAACTTTTTACTCCACTTGGCAAATGAAACTCATGAGTTTCATAATCTGTGCTGAATAAAATATTTTGAGTCCTTGGGTCGAAAAACTGCATACCAATGTCACTTGTGATAGAAGTTTTGTTCTTTTCTACACTGAGTTTTGTTGTACCTTGCTGAAAAACAATCTTCAGAAAAACACTTTATCATTAATATGCTTTCATAGAAGACTACATTCAAAATTCATCAAGAACATTATAAAAACACTCTATAATAACAGACTAACTTAAAATAATTTTAACCGTGTTTGTTTGTCTCCCCTCCACCCACCTGAGAGACAAGTTCTTTAAAACCAGGGCTTACTGGGGTGGTGAACACACCATACAGTGTATAGACAATGTGTTGTGAAATTGTGTACCTGAAACCTGTATAATTTTGTTAACTAGGGTCACCCCAATAAATTCAATTAAAAGGAAAAAATAAACTGAAATAATTTAGAAAAAGTAGAATCTCACGCTCCCCCCCCCCCAAAAGCAAACAAAACATAACAACAAAGGCTTACATATTTATTTGCTTATACTGCTCTGCACAAAAACAGGGTCACAGGGCACATGGATCCAGGCCTGTGACAGGCAGGGAAGGTGAGGGTTCCTCCTTGAGGTTCTATGCAGTTAAAAACCTGTGTTATAGCAGCCACTTGGCATGGGCTGCCACCTACTAGATTGGCATATTCTCTTCTAAACTCCCAGAAAGTAGAGGGTACTTTAACCAGGAAAGGTACTTTCTTTGTATGGAGAAAACAGGAGTAAACTATAAATTCTTATAGTAATTATATCTATCCCAAAACATGCTACCATGGAACAAAATCTAGAATATTAAGAAAGCATTTAACATGAATACATTATAAGACCAACAATATTATTAAATATACTTATGAATGTTTCCTTAAAGGAAAATATCCATTTGCAAAAATCAACTTAGACTTTTACAAATATTTTTTTCTCTAATGCCTCTAAATTAAATGTGGTAACTTACAGGCTGGTTGTTGCCAGTGATGACCAGATTTTCATTTCTCCTTCCTCCTACTGTGCTCTTATAAAGAGGATGTATAACTCCCATGTCGGATACTTGTTTAAATCGAAGCAGACCACTTTCATGGAACTCCATGCTGTCACAGCCATTTGGTCCAATGCGAATCACAGCCCAGATAACAAGCGTTATCTAAAAAAGAAAACAAGCCCACAGTTAACAGGCAGCAAGCATTTAACATAATCAGAAAACAAACAGAAAAGATAATTGCCAAAGGATAAAACTTCTTAAAGTGTTTCATCAGTGAGAGGACCGTCTCAGTTGGTTTTCCTCTCATCAACAAAACCATTTCATTTCTATCAGGATATTACATGCAAACAGATGAAAGTCAAAAAGTGCTAAAAGGTCTAAAATAGAAAAAGCAGTTTACTTCATCTGCCTCCTCCACATCTCATCCAGGGACAACCACTTTCAACAATTTTATGTACTTTGAATAGAATTTATCTCCATATTTTAAAATAATATTTGTACATCATTTCTTCACTCATCAATTTTAGGTTTCATCTACTGATTTTCTATTTTAACAGATGAGAATTTTAGTTCATTTGTATTTCTTCTCCCCCAATTTCAATCTAAAGTTTTGGTTAAATCTTGGTTTAGCATTTTCAGTGTTATGATCATATAAATATTATTCACTGCTAAGCCAAATACTATACATGATAGCAGTTTTCTTGTACTTTGTGTCTCTCTTGAGTTTAATACTTGTCTTTCCTTTATTTACTTAGTTTCTTTGAAAATCTGACTAAATCTTTCCAAACCCTCCAACATTTCTGTCAGAGGCCTCTCAATCAAATGTTCTAGCCTCTCAGATAGATAATTTATAAGTTCTATTTTCCTCTCAGAAAATCTTTCTGGAACCCCCGTCTTCTTGCTCCAGTCTGGACTGCCACCCTCCGGGTCTGCTGCACAGCTGTAGTCAGGAACCTGTCCTTCACTTTCACGCTGGAACTTCCTTCTGTCCTTCTCTCTGTAGACACCCAGTTTCCTGTATCCCCGTCTTCAACTGTCGTGCTTTAGCACCTCCTTTTGGTAGAGCACATCCTCCCGTGGCTTCCTGAGAAAGAATGTATGTGGAGTGAAATTTTTTGGAGTGTGCATGGCTAAAAATGTCTTTATAATCCCTCACACTTGACTGATGGTCCAGCTTGGTACACGTTTCTAGATTTGAAGTTGTTTTGTCTATGAATTTGGAAGGCCCTTGCTTACTTGCCTTCTAGTTTCAGGTGCTGCTCTGGAGAGGTCTGATGCTCTGATTTTCTATTTTTAATACATACAGGACCTGTTTATTTTCTTCCGGAAGATCTTAGGATTCTCTGTTTATTCCTGGTTTTCTTCAGTTTCAAAGTGATGGCTTTGGTGTGAGTCTTTTCTATATATTATGCTGGATTCAGAATGGTACTTTTCAATCTGCTCTAGAAAATTTTCTTGGTTTATTGTGTTCCCTCTTCTCTCTTTATGAAACTCCAATTAACAGAATGTTTCAGTTCCTGAATTAATTGTTTAATTTTGTTAAACTTTCTGGAAGAGTTCCTTTTCTTTATTTTCCAATATCTATCTACCTACCCACTCATCCATCCACGTGTGTCTGTCTGTGAGTTCTTCCTTATTCTTTAATTGGTCCTTTTCTTTCTTTGTTTTTTATCCTTACCTGAGGACACCCTTCCATTTTTTGTTCAGATAGAGTGGGAAGGAGAAGAGAGAGAGAGAAACATCGATGCGAAAGGGACACATCGAGTGGCCACCTCCGGCACAACCTAACCAGGGCCGGGGACAAACTGCAACTGAGGCACGTGCCCCCAAGGAAACTGAACCTGGGTCTCTCTGGACTGCAGGCCGACGCTCTAATCGCTGAGCCAAATCGGCCAGGGCAAGTCAGTCCTTTTCAATGGCATGTTATCCTTGTTTCATGGATGCAAAATCATCTTATTTCTATAAAGATATTGATTGTAGTGGGGTTTTTTTTGTTTGTTTGTTTTGCTTGGTTTTTAAAGTTTTCTGTTATGTTTTGCACTTTCTCTATCTCCTTGAATTCCTACTTTCCCCGTGGTTTGGGTGTTTTTGGTCTTGATCATTTTTCAATTCTAGGAGCTTTCAAAAAAAAAAAAATTGATCCCTGGAGGCTCAGTATTCATATTTAACAGTGAGGCTGCAAAAAGCCCATAAAAATTCTCTGTGCGGAATGGGGCTTGTGACTGACAGGCTTCCCATGGCTTTTTACTGGAAACTGCCAAGTGTCAGCATCTTCAGGTCTTTATGTGCTTCAGTTTCTCCAGAGAGGGCTATTTTATCTCTTGCCCAGGGGATATCGGCCTGCTGCCAGGAAGCTGGAGGTGGAGGCTGAGGATAAGGGAGCCTGGGAAAGGGAATCTCAGTACATAGGATTCAGACCTTTCTGCCTTCAGTATAGAAATCCATACCTACCCCCGCTCTGTGCAGTAGCCTCAGGCAGTAGGAATCCTCTCTGGTTCAAAGTATTCTTGTGTGGGGTTGGGAGGGGTTGTTGTCTAACTGCTGGCTGGTAGGAAGAGGAAGGCTAGGGATCTAATGGCTCCTACAGATTTTTCAAACAAACTCTGTTTTCAGTTCTCGCCTCCTTCCTGCTTTTCAAGGTACTTGTACATCTAATTCCTGATGCTTTTCAGGATTCTGCAAGGGACTTTCACCAACACACCCTGCAACCGCCTCCCTAACACACACAGCAGTTTCCTTTCTCTGATAAGGTATTTGCCATAGCTCCTCCTCCTTTTTGTCTTCATACATTACAATTTAGGATATCAGTTGCCTCCCACTTTCTTCCAAGATGTTTATTGGAATATATTGATATTGTCACCTTGGAATAAGCTTTTTAGGGAGAAGGGGGATAAAAATGTCTTTAGCCTGCCATCTTAATAAGACGTTTCCAATAAAATAAATTAATAAAATAAATTCAGAATATGTGCTCCCAGTAAAGCTATTTATATTACCAGCTTTTATTATTTAAGAATTAGACATAAATGTTTTAGGTGTACATAAATACAAAGAGCTGGTTTGAAAGTATTAGGAGTAAAAAATTAATGCAATCACTTTGGAACTGCCGAAGTTCATGTTCATGGTCTCAAGTATGCCAATAATCACGCTCTAAAAATTTAACTATCATACAGTTACAACCTTGGATTAAAAGTCTTCTTCCTTAAAAAAGCAAATATTTGGAAAGGTAACATACCATGTCCTCAGCACCTCAGTGTAAACTAGCTTACCAGACCCTTTCATTCTTTGACAACAGATTAAAATATAACACTTTACTGTCATCCAAGGGTTTCAATTTGAGGAGACAATACTAAATGTGGGAAAAGTTGAATGAAAGCAGAAAGGATTGTTTTTTAGGAGAGGTGAAGGCAATAAAATCATCTTGGCAAGTGTCTCTTCTATTGAGTTGATTCTACCCTTTTAAAAGTTAAGCCCTTGAAAATGAAGAATCCATGAACTTTTTTTTTTTAAAGAAAATGAATACGTGGCAATATTTACATACTGAGTTTATACATCTATATATTCATTAAAACTCAGTAAGAGATAAAATATGTGTAGAAAAGCAGAAAGTAAGAGGATCCCCCCCAAATTATAGAAACGAAGTCCATGATTTCACTGAAAAACTGATGAAAAAGTCCTCATGGTAATTAAGAAAAGAGTATTCTTTACTACATACTCACAGTTAAGTTGATGACAGCCAGGATAAACAAGAGGATAATCACACAGATGGCTAAGTTGCCCTTTCTCCCTCTCAAGCCCGTTTTATGGAGCCGATCTTCATCAATTGGAATATATCCGGCTTTAAAGTTACTATTGTGCTCTTTATTCACATTCCTTCTCTCAACAGCCTTCTCACGCATGGACTTCTTTACAGGACCATTGGAACTTTGCTAAAACAAAGTACAACACGTTGGAACAGCAATACCCTCCCTTTTTGATTCATTTATTTATTAAGTGCATATTCATAACCAAAGAAAGCTGAATTGGTTAGTGATATATTTTCCCAAACTAATAAACTTCAAATCACACTGAGTTTCAGGCTCCAAGTAAGGACATGGATTACCATGCTTAGAAGGGTGGTAGTGAAGAGCTTTCAGTGTGACTATTTGACATAGATTTCCACTCTCTGCTTTGCACAGTCCTACTTTAGTAAAGTGTACAGTTACCTCATTTCGGGGAAGAGTTGACATATACATTCTACAGTGGGTAATCTTTTTTTTATTAATGATTTATAATTATTTTATTTTTTTAAATCCTCATCTGAGGACATTTTTCCATTTTTTGTACAGACAGAGTGGGAGGGAGAGAGAGGAAGAGAGAGAGAGGGAAACATCGATGTGAAAGGGACACATCGAGTGGCTGCCACCCGCACGACCAACCAGGGCCGGGGACAAACTGCAACCGAGGTACCTGCCCTTAGCGGGAACCGAACCCGGGCCTCTCCGGACCGCAGGCGGACGCTCTAACCGCTGAGCCAAACCGGCCAGGGCTATAATTATTTTAAATAATATATATATGTTTTTATTTATATGAGAAGAATTTGGAACGACTGATAGACTTTGTTATTTATCAATGTTAAAGCTACCATTCTCTTAGACCAGCAGTTTTCAAAGTATGGGCTGGGGAGTCCATAGTATGGAGTGGTCCCCTGAACCCTCTCAGGGGTCTAGAGAGTGAAAACTATTTTCAAAATAATGCTAAGATGTTATTTTTCCCTCTTTACTCTCCTCATAAATGTACAGAGGAATTTTCCATAGGCTCCATGACTCTATGTGATGACATCATTATTCTAACAGCTAATGAAATTGTGCTTTGTGTTTTTCTGTGTTTAAAATGTTTTCAGTTTTAATTTATAACATGGTAAATATCAGTGGATATAACCCATGTAAACCAAAGCTCTTTGGGATCCTCAGTAATTTTTTAAGAGTACATAGAGGACCTGAGATCAAAAGGTTGAGAACCTGACTTAGACTGTGGTTGAATGATATTTTAGTATTAACCGGATATATCACAAACACAAAAGGAATGGGTGGAGATGGATACTGCCCAACTTACATGTGTTTGAGCTCTGAGAAAACTCATTTATTGAATAGGCATTTATTAAGCACTTTTTGCTTAAACACTAATTCCATAAATAGGAATACAAAAGAAATATAGGCCCTGGCCAGTTTGCCTCAGTGGTTGGAGCGTCAGCCTACAGACCAAGGGGTTGAGGGTTTGATTCCTGATCAGGGTCACGTGCCTGAGGTGTGGGTTCAATTTCCGGCCCCAGTCAGGTCATGTGGGAGGTGGCTAGTTAATGTGTCTCTCTCACATCAATGTTTCTCTTTTTCTCTCTCTCTCCCTCTCTCCCTCCCTCTCTTCCATTTTGTCTAAAAATCAGTGGAGGGGTGTCTTCAGATGAGGATTCACCAAAAAAAAGAAAGAAAAGGAAGGAAGGAAGGACAGGATCCTTACCCTCCAGATATTATAAATATGACTTGGGTACATAAAATAGTAATGCAGTAAAGTATTCTGTAGGTTCGGGTGCAAAAATCAATAGTATAGATAATACAGGCTGTGTAGTTTAATGGGAGGAGAAACAGGATAGCTTGGAGTTGTCGGGGAAACTGGGCAGAGTGAGTGTGTCAGATGTGGCAATTCAGGGAGAATAAAGTAGGAAAAGTAGGGCAGATTGTGAAAGTTCTTGGACTGCTGAGTACAAATTCTAGTCTTTATGCTGTTTAATTGGGAGTCACCGGAAGTTTTTGAACATGCTTCAGGATGCTAAATGTGTGGGCATTTGTAGAAGGGCCAAGAAATAGACTACTAGGAAGTAGGTCTGTTGGGGATGTTGCAGGAATAGAAATTTGTTGTAATAAAGGCCTAAATTAAGGTGGGATTAAATGGATAGATCAGCCCTGGCCCGGTGGCTCAGCTGGTTGAAGTTATCCCATACACCAAAAGGTTGTAGTTTCTTTCATTCCTGGTCAGGGCACATGTCTGAGTTGTGGGTTCGATCCCCAGTCAGGGTGCATACGAGAGGAAACTGATTGATGTTTTTCTTTCGCATTGATTTTCTTTCGCATTGATGTTTCTCTCTCTTTCTCTTATATCTCTAAAAAAGAAAAAAAAATCAATAAAATTCTCAGGTGAGGACTTAAAAAAAAAAAGGATAGATTAAAAATACACTTCAAGAGAAAAGTTAACAGAATTTGTAGCCAGGTTCAAAAAAAGAATCTCATGTTTACTAAATGGTGACTAGTTAAACATAGGGAATGAAGGAGGGAGGAGATTCTACATATGTTGCACTTGAACTGAATGAGAAATAACCACATGCCTTAAAGGCAATGGACTAGAGATACACATTTGAGAGCTCTCAGCCTCGAGGTAAGTTAAATCTATGAGACCACATCAGTTTACTGTGAAAAAAATAATATAAAGAGAACAGAACAAAGAGCCAAGGATGTAGTATTGGGAAACTTTAAACGAGCAGGAACAATAGAAAATAAGAAATACAATGAATGGTAAGAAAATCCATGTTTACAGTGTTGCTGAACTTGATTCATCAGGATGTGCCTCCATAACCTTCAAAGATAACTTTGTATAGCAAATTGGTAAGTAGGGGAAAGTCTTAAAGAGCCAGCATATATACATCTATTTTTAAATCCAGAAAAAGAGAGAAAAGATTATATCTTAAAGAATTGTGTACTATCAGAGGAAAATTGTGCTTCATTTGTTGTTGTTAATAACTTCCCTCCTCCCCAATTTGGGGGAGGACTTGGATGTTTGACCGCAGAGGAAAAGATGTCAAGAGAGGCAGACCAAAGATCTCTGAGAAGAGCAGAGTAATGTGGGAAACAAGATCCTTCGAGAGGCAGGAAAGAAAGTGATAGAGTACAGGAGACAATAACAGTCTTAAAGGGTGGGTTCCCACTTCACTGAAATGGTTCACACCAAGAAGGGAAAACATTCTTTTTTTTCCTAGGGATGTTATAGGCAAGGCTACCTGGAATCTTATCATGGTGTCAGGGGTAGCAGCAGAAGGCTGGCTGAGTGCTTATGGAAAAAGACAGGAATAATCATTCTGAGTAATGTGGGAGATAAAAATTTAAAAATTCCACACAGCGGTAAGGAAGGCTCAGTAGAAGATAATTAAATCAACTCAACAGATTTTATTACAAAACAATGCCAATACAGTTGTGTGGGCTGCATATCTTCATGAGGTGCAACATCTATGAGGGTGCATTGACAGTGCAGATATTTTAGACTTGAATATGCATTTTGATAGTTTTCCCTTAAAGGTAGTAAAATAGAAAGGAGGTGTGTTTTCTTCTAATTTTCATAAACACTTGTGACAATGCTGATAGGTAGGCAATTTTAGTCTTAACTAGAGTTTGAATATAGGTCTATATATCAGAGAGGCAGTGCAAAATTTATCCCTGCTGGAATGCAATCTTTACTCTTCTCTGCCAATTCATGCACGTTAATATGTTCACTGGATGCATTTAACATTTACAGAAGAGTGATTATGTGCCAGGTGCTCAGGCGACCAAGATGAGCAAGACATAGCACCTACCCTCAGTGAACTTACAAGCAAGTAGGGTAGATAGTCAAGGTCACTAACAATTGCAGTTCAACATGGCAAGTGCCATAGTGGAGCAATGCACAGGTACTGAAAGTGTATATGAGAGGAATGCAATTCTACTTAGCAAGGAGGGGCATCGGTTGAAGGTTTTTAAGATTTGAGGTTTCAGTTGGGTCTTGAAGGATAAACAGGAGTTAGTCAGGCAAAAGTACAAAGAAAGGCATTCCAGGCAGAGGGAACAGCATGGAAATTTTGAGTATGGGTCATCTGTGGGTAAACTAATTTTGGTAGCTTTATGTGGATGGTGAAGAGGATAAGTACAGGAACAGGGCAAAATATGAGGTGAGAGATGTGGTTAGAAGCCAGTAAATGAATGGACATAAGTACAATGTCAAGAATGATGGACTTTATCCTTAAGGTGGTGGGGAACTATCAATAATTTAAAATAGGTTAGTGATACAATCAGATTTGCATTATAGCAAAATCAAACCAAAAAGCAGTGAACTGGAATAGAGGAGTTCAGAGTTGAAGATATCAACAGCAGTTTTCTTTAACAGCCCCAAATGATGGCTTGACTAAGCTTTGGCACCGGAGGTGAGGAGGAGATTGGGAAGAAGTGTTAAGAGGTAGAACTGACAGGACCTGGTGAGTGATTGGATGTGAATGTGACAAAGTGGGATCTAAGATGACTCCCAAGTAGGATCTGCTACATTGTTAGTGGGATCTGAAGAAAAAAAAGACAATGCTGCATTCTCTGTTCAAATACTAAGCCTGGGACAGCACAGCATTAAACTAAATTCAGATCCCTTCCAAGCACCCCTCAGCTGGCCCAGATCCCATTTCTGGCTAGGTTAACCAGGAGAGTGAATGGTTGTAGCCCCTTTAATAGTAAATATGATGTAATCCAGTTTTGAACATTTTTGAGTTTGTATTGCCTGAGGAAAATTCAGGACTAGAGACATAAATGCAAAACTTTGAAGTGGAAATTGAGGGAAGGATCAGACTGCCTGGTTTATGTGTGAAGCAAGAATAAAATCTCAGTGGAACCTCAAGAATATCAATAGGTGATGTTGATTTAAAAATAACTGTTGCCCTGGCCAGTTTGGCTCAGCGGTTAGAGCTTCAGCCGGCGGACCAGAGAGTCCCAGGTTCAGTTCCCACTAAGGGCACGTACCTTGGTTGCAGTTTACCCCGCCCAGGGTTGGGGTCATGTGGGTGGCAACCACTCAATGTGTCTCTTTCACATCGATGTTTCTCTCTCTCTTCCTCCCTCTCTCCCTCCTGCTCTATCTGAAGATAAATGCAAAAAATGTCCTTGGGCCCTGGCCGGTTTGGCTCAGCGGTTAGAGCGTCGGCCTGCGGTCCGGAGAGACCCGGGTTCGGTTCCCGCTGGGGGCACGTACTTTGGTTGCAGTTTGTCCCCGGCCCTGGTTGGTCGTGCGGGTGGCAGCCACTCGATGTGTCCCTTCACGTCGATGTTTCTCTCTCTCTCTCCCTTCCTCTCTCTCCCTCCCACTCTATCTGTACAAAATATGGAAAAATATCCTCAGGTGAGGATAAAAAAAAAAAAAAAATGTCCTTGGGTGAGGATAAAAAAAAAAAAAATAACTGTTTAGTCCGGTGGGTGTGGCTCAGCGGTTGAGCGTCGGCCCATGCACCAAGAGGTCGCCAGTTCCATTCTTGGTCAGGGGTCAGGACACATGCCTAGGTTGTGGGCCCAATCCCTAGTCAGGGACAGGCAGGAGGCGGCCAATCGATGTTCTCACTCATCGATGTTTCTCTCTCTCTCTCTCTCTCTCATTTCCTCTCTCTGTAAAATCAACAAAGGAAAAAACCAAAACAAAACTGTTTGGCCTGGCCAGTGTGGCTTGGTGGTTTTGCCTCGACCAATGCACCAAGGGGTCGCTGGTTCAATTCCCAGTCAGGGGTCAGGACACATACCCAGGTTGTGGGCCCAATCCCCAGTGGGGGGCATACAGGAGGCGGCCAATTGATGTTCTCTCTCATCGATGTTTCTCTCTCTCTCCCCCTCTCCCTTCCTCTCTCTAAAATCAATAAAAAAATATTTTAAAAATAAAAATAAAAAACAGAAGCTGACAAATTCGGAGGGAAATTGGGGAAGCCAAGGAACAGTTTTAATCTCGACAACTCCAAGCTTTATTACCTTCCACTTTCACTCACTTCTTCTTTTTAATTTTATTTTACTGTGACAACCTATAGCTTGTCTATTGTCTTTACCAGACTGTTTTGCATTTATTAGGAAATTTTGACTTTATGTTCCTTAAAGGCAGTTTTCATGTCTTTGATATTTTATGTTCCTTAGAACGACTCTTCCAGTGATATATATCTAATAGGTCTCTAAAAGCTGTTAATTATCTAAGAAAATCTTTCTAGAAAAAAAAAGATTTTTCTGGAAACAGAAGGTTGGTTACTTGACTCCTATTTATTTTTTAAACACTTTTTTTTTTTTTTTTTTTAAGAATTGGACTTTTTCAAAAGATACTATCACATCATATTTTTTTTCTAAAAAAAATAACAGTTAAAGAAAAAAAGGGACTATAAAATTATTTTTGTTATAGTAAATCACCCTAGTGACCATATATATATATATACACACACACACACACACATATATACATATACATATATATGGTATATTTGCACACACATATTAATTTATCATCTGTCTATCTATCTTGCTTTTGGGGGAAAATAGCCTTTGAAGCTTTTGTAAGTTACAAGTTTACAATGCAGATCAGGAAATACTAGATAAATCATTTTTTAAAATGATCTTAAGCCGATGGGACTGGAGACAGTTTTATACTGGAGACCAACGCTCCGAAACCGACGCGGGAGGAGCAACCTGGGTGTGTGCACAGCACGCCGGGGCGGCAGACAAGAAGTGACCGCGAGCTGCCAGGGCAACAGCTGACCGCTCCTTGGCCGCCGTCGGGGAGCCTGGCGGCGCCCGGCTGAGGTTATTTTTACCCGCATCTTCGTTGGCGACTTAGCAGGGCACGTCCTGGCGCAGGCTCCCGGCTGCCACGGCCGCCTGCGGACTCTCGGAGCAGCGACCCCTCTTCTCCGCAGCCGAGGGGCAGCCGGGCCAGACCGCCCCGGAGCCACGGCCCGGGGTCCCGCCGGCCTTCGCCAGCATCCCGGCTGCGGACAGCTCCTCCCGCCCCGCCCCGCGCCGCAGAGCCCGGCCCCGCCGGCCCGCGCGCCCGGGTCCCCGCCGGCCAGCCCTGCGGCGGGCCCCACCGGCAGGACCCCGGCGCCCCTGCCCTCCAGCCCCCGGCCGCGGCGGGGCTCACAGACCTGCTCGGCTGCCGCCGCCGCCGCTGCCGCCATCTTCCCGCGCCCGCCGCCGCCGCCGCCGCCGCCCTCCCCGCCGCCGTGGCCCCGAGCGCCTGCGCCTGCGCCCTGGAGGCCGCGGTGGGAGGGGACCGGCCGCTCACCGCCCCCGCCCTGCCGCGGGAGGGAGGCTCGGAGCCCCGCCGCCCGGTGCACTTCGAACTGTGGCTTCGTTTTCCGGCGCACGCGGATCCCACGCGATCTGGGCCGCCTCTGGATGCCCCCGAAAGGGCACGACGGCGCCGCTCCCCTCCCCTCCCTTCCCCATCACGCAGGGCTGGAGCCGTCCCGGCCTGGGGCATCCTCCTGGTGTCATCGGTCGGGGCGAGAGTCCCCATGGATGAAGACGGAGTGGGGACAGTGTGGACTGCAGGTAACAAATCACCACTTAGCCAGCTACGACCTTGAAAACAGGGTCCTCAAGGAAGGCAGTCACTTCAGGGATGCTTCATAACTTTGGGGGGCCTGTGAAGCTGATGCTTTTCCTCCGCATTGCGGGTGGCTTTTCCATTTAGTGTTAGAGATGGTGCATCTGGGCAGCCTAACTGAACAGATACGTACTGCCCACCAGGAGGCACCCAAATGTACAAATCACTTGAGTACACACTCCTTCTTCCCAGTCCTCAGTATGATCCAATAATGCTTAGTTTTTTGGGGTTTTTTGTTTTGTTTTTTAATGCAGTAAGCAACCCAGGTGCAAAAACTACCTCAGGTATCCGAAACCACTTCTAATAAGCACCTTTGGGTCCCAGGGCTGCCTAAGCAGGAAGCACCACAGACCAGCGGGCCAAACCTTCCCTTCTCCAGGAACTAGATCACTTTTGCTTTTTGATATCCGGGGCCATTATTTCACTGCTCTGCGTACTTTACATCAGAGGATTGCTGTGAAGTTTACATAGATAATCTGTTGCATAATAAAGCCCTCATAAATTTTTCCCTCCTCTCTCCCAATTTTGGCTAATGTAGTCATTTCAAAATATATTATCTTCAAGCTCCCCCCACCCCAAAATAATATTTAGAGACTACCATGTACCTTGCAATGCCTCTTTAATTCTCCCAACAGCCTTATGAGATAGGTCATACTACAGTCGGCCCTCGTTTATCGCGGTCAATCCGTTCCAGACTCTACCCCGATAAATGAATTTACGCGAAGTAGGATTCTTTATTTATATACAGTCGTCCCTCGCCACTTCGCGCTTCGACTTTCGACTTTCGCGGCTTCACTCCACCGCGGGAAGCCGCGAAAGTCGAAAGTCGAAGCGCGAAGTGGCGAGGGACGACTGTATCCCTATTTTACAAATGAAGAAATCAAGACTCATAGAGGTTCAATGGCTAACCAAGTTTTCAACTAATAAAGAGCCAGGATTGAACCTAGGTCCACCTGATTAAGTCTTTGTTCTTTCTACCAGGTAAGAGTCTTTAATTCTGCCTTTTCTTTTGCCTGTTGCATATTATTAGCACTTAGAAATGCAAACCAAGGTGACAGTACTAGTCAGGTTATGAAGACAGTTATCTCTTCATTCACTTTATAGTGGGTTGAATAGTGTCCCCCAAAAGATATGTACAAGTCCAAATTCCGAGTACCTATGAATGTGATGATATTTGGAAATAGGGTCTTTGCAAATGTAATTAAGTTAGGGATCTCAAAATAAGATCACCCTGGATTTTGATGAGCCCTAAATCTATGACTGGTGTCCTTAAAAGAAGAGGAGAGGACAGAGACACAGAAAAGAGGAAGATGTGGAGACAGGCAGAGATTGCAATGATGCGTCTACAAGGCAAAGGGTATGAAGGTATCACCAGAAGCTGGGAGAGAGGCACAGAACAGGGTCTCCCTCAGAGCTTCCAGAAGGAATGAACCCTATTGATTTCTGACTCCCAGCTTCGAGAACTGTGAGAGAATATATCTCTGTTGTTTGAAGCCATCAAGTTGGTGGTAACTTTGTTACAGCAGCCCCTAAGAAACTAATTCACACATCCACACATCCCAAAAGTGAACTCAAAATCTTTTTTCACAGTCTGCTCTTTGTGAATTCCCTGCAGTGGTTCTCAACCTTCCTAATGTCGCGACCCTTTAATATAGTTCCTCATGATGTATGTGGGCGGACCTGCCTGGAGATGGATAGAGGAGCGGTGTCTCGGTTCCTAAGACCATCGGAAATATGTGTTTTCCAATGGTCATAGGCGACCCCTGTGAAAGGGCCCTTGGACCCCCAAAGGGGTCGTGACCCACAGGTTGAGAACCGCTGTCTTAGTGAGTGACACCATCATCCAGTCAGAAACCTCAAAGTTATTCTATAGTATTTCTAGTGTGATCTTCCTAAAATACAAAGCAGATCACATTACTCTTCACCCTGAAGCTTTAAAATCCTCCAGTACCTTTCATGACAAAAATCTCACTCCTTATATTAGTACATTTTTCTATTACTATTTATCTTTTACTTTCTGATTTCCATCTACCTATTTTTGTCTCCTTTCCTGCCCCTCTCACAATCTCATCCTCTACTCTTGCCACGTGCAATATTTGCAGTTCCCGTTTATTTGCCCGAAAGCATCAAGTTGTTAAAGTCTCTGTGCCTTTGCATATGTGGCTATTTCTCTCTCTTTTTTAATCCTCAGGAATTTTTTAAATTTATCTTCAGATAGAGTGTGAGGGAGGGAGAGAGAAACATCGATGTGAAAGGGACACATCGACTGGCTACCTCCTGCACGACCTAACAGGGCTGGGGATGAACCGCAACTGAAGGAGGTACGTGTCCTTGACCAGAATCAAACTCACAACTCATTGGTCCGCAGTCCAACACTCTATCTGCTGAGCCAAATCAGCCAGGACTATTTCTCTTTTTTATATAGCTACTTTACTTGTCTACTAAAACTCAGCTCAAGGAATATGTCTTCTGGAAAGCCTTCCTTCATCTTTCTCCTCATCACAAATTTCTGATTTCTGTGCCCCTTGCTGTGGTCCTCAAGCATGTCTCTATTGTCACATTTATCTCACTACACTGAAATGTATTTACTTGCCCATGTGTCTTGTCTTTGAATTAATCCTTCCCCAAATTCCATTCATCTTTAAGGACCAACCTCAGTCTCACCTCCTCCTGTTACAGCCAATCATTATTGCGCGCTCTCTCTCTCTCTCTCTAATTGCTAGTGACTCCCATTTAATATTTAATAAAACACTATTTCATGTTATTTTACCATTCACACATGCATATAGTTTTCTCCCAAAGAAACTGTAAACCCATTACAAAATAGGGTGATGTGTTACTATTTGTGTTGCTCCAAATCCTGAACACATTAAGAGACACGTATATGATATGTACTTAGTAACTTCGATGGGTGAATTTTGGATTGATATTCTTCTATTGTGTAAAACATATTACTAATACCTAAGTGCTTCTGATACGTGTCCACTCTAATGCTCACCATGCTTTACCCCAGAGACAAACGTCATTAACTCTCATCTCTGTGTTTCCCACGTGTTCTTCCTGGGTCCAGTCCTGCCCCCTCCAAAGTTAGCCTCTAGGACCTCCAATGTGATATAATGGAAAGACCAGAACGTACTGTTTATCTATTTGAAGTCCTTTGCTGCTTCCCATTGCCTACATAATAAATATCACTTTCTTAGCCAAATATGTAAGACTCTTCGTAGCTGAACCCAGGACTATCTTTTCAGTCTTTCCTAGGATTCTGTTGCCCCACTGGGCCAGCATTCATCATTCCCTGCCTCTCCATGCAGTTCCAGGCCTCTTTGCTACTGTCTATCCTGTTCCATTTCCTCTGCTCTTCCTGGTGAACCTCTCCATCCTTCCAGAGCTGGCTCTGTGTTTCACTTTTTTTCTATAATTTTCCCTGATCTTCAGGGGGATGGGTGAGGAAGTAAGGGGAGGGTCAGTGTTTCCATAGGATTTTATAATGTAATTTGTTGCATTGAACTATGGTTATATATCTCTCTCCTATGAGACCTAGGGAGTAGACACTGAGTCTAATTTTGCCTTATGATTAAGGCAGATGTTTCTGTCACGCTAGCAATTTCATAACTGTTTATTAGAGGTGCTGAAAAGATCTATTTCAACATCTTTCATCCTAAGACTTGCCCTCATGCTGTCCCATGTTCCTCTCCTGGGGCATTTAAGGATATTTTACAGTGTAGCTCATGCCCATTGCACCTTTGCAATAGCTTAATGTATCCTAAACTTACCCTTTCAATGACTGTTTTCACAGAGCCAAGTATTTGCCATGTATTTAGCTAGCAAAACTGGAAAAGTTGAGGGCAAGAGTTTCTTTTTTATTGATTCGTTTTTTAGAGAGAGAGGAAGCGAGAGGGAGAGAGAGAAACATTGATGTGAGAAACATTGATTGGTTGCTTCCTGCATGAACCCCAACACGGTACCAAACCTGCAACCTGGGCATGTGCCCTGACCAGGAATTGAACTGTTGACCTTTTGGTGCATGGAATAATCACAACCAACTGAGCCACACCCACCAGGGCAATGCCTTCTTTTTTTAACCAACTGTGAAGATGGAAACCTGGGTTGAAATAGGAGGGCTACCTTGTGGCCCTAAAATACCCCACTAAATCTATTTTGTTTTTCTTCTAATCCATGTTTGTTACAAACGTTCTATAATTTATTTTGATGCTACGGTGATACAGTTCTGATATATTACAATTTTCCTCTTGTTTTTGTGGTTTAATTAATAGTGGGTATACTTTTTCAGAAAAATTCTGAACTATTGCTCTGAGCAGGGAATGCTTATTGTTATTACAGAAAACAACATCCCTGCTTTTGTCTGGTGGGAAAACCTGCTTCAGCTCAGACCCTGACCAATTACAGTTGACCCTTGAACATGGATTTGAACTGTGTGAGGCTACTTGTATGCAGATTTTTCAGTAAATACATACAGTACTGTAAATGTATTTTCTCTTATGAGTTTCCTAACATTTTTTTTCTCTAGCTTACTTTATTGTAATATAGTATGTAATACATATTACAAAATATGTTAATCAACTGTTTATGTTATCAGTAGGTACC